ACGCACACATAAGAAAAAAATCAGCAAACAAATTAGGTGTTAAATCAAAAAAAGAAAAGAACCCAGGTTCCTCATTTTCAGTTTGAGCATGACATTTAAAAACCATCAGCAGCAGGCAAGAACAGAACTCCCACAACAACCTGAACTTACCATCTTCTGGGAATTCTACTTCACCGAGGGAGAACGAACGTGGAGAAAGGGCAAAACAGGTAGAAAAAAACAAAAGACGAATGAAGGAAAACAAACAGGAAGAAAAGTCGAGACAGGTGCCAATAAGAACCCTCTGCTGTCTCCAAATTGATTACCTCTGAACTTACAACACCTGATGTCTAAAACTGATTTACAGGTGGGGGTTTTCACACAAACTGTGTTCTTTTACTTAGAATTTGTAGATAGATATTAAGAAAGAAGAAAGAACATTTTGGTCAAATAAACCTCTTCGTACCTTGATCTCAATGTTTCCCACTTTGGCTGTGGAGCGGATGATGGGCCTCCCAACAAGCGCAGGGAAGATGTGCTCTGGGAAGTTGGAGCCTGCATAGCCGCACTTGACAAACTGCAAAAGGCAGGAAGAGACCAGAGGAAAGAGGAAGTGATAAGCAGATGCATTAAAACTCTTCAGACATATACAACCCACAAGTTGGCTCTAGAAATCTTGCGCCTGAAGCCAAAACCTTTGAAATGTTTTGATTTCTTGCATTAAATATCCAAGAGAAATTTGTGGGCTCCACCTCCAAGGCTGTAAGGTTTCAAAATTGTGATTTTCATACAAATTAAAGTTAATTTAATGTGAAGGGACTGGAGTTTCAAAGAACTAAAAGCTGCCTACCTTTTCAAAGGAAGACAAATTTGTCGGCTTGGGGACATTTTTTTGTGAAACGTGGCATTTTTACATAAACTCTTCATACGATGAAACTCGTATCAAACAAGACACAGTGAGAAAAAGTACAACTGTTGAAATCATAATCTTGCCCTTTAAAATTACATTTGCAACTTTGCCCTCTCAGTACAATGACCAAATATTCCAAACAATTTAGTAACAACTATCTTCATGGTCTCTTGTTGCAACATTTAGCTTCTGTGCACAAAGCACTCGTTTCAGTTGTGCAACAGAGTCAAATTAAGGACAAAGAAAAAAAAAAAAACTGTTCACGCTTTAATCTTCTCCAATAAGAACACAATATTTAAGTGCAGAAATTAGTTCAACCCTCCCTTACCCGCTTCAGGGAAAAGCTAAGAATTTAAAATAAGGTCATTTCTTCTGCTGATTTACAACTCTCTGCATCGACAGCTTAAAAAAAAAAACGTAATCTCACACTGAACTCAGATCTGGCACAGAATGTGTCAGATCTCTGAATATGTGCCTGTGACATAAGCGACTGTGGTTTAGTCTCTTCTCACTTCCTCTTAACTTCTCTATTCAACTCTGACATATGGCTGGGTTTTTTTTCTGCTCTCTCTCTCTTTGCTGGCTTCACACAGAGCTATTGAAAAATTCACATCCGAAAAAAGCCTTATTAGTCAGTAACGCGCTGAGCCAACATCCTCCTCGACTGCTGACGGTGTTTAGATAAGGAAGTCCCTGCAACTCCAGACGAGGCAGTGGTACCTGTGTGTGCAGTGAGCACATTCCTGAGTTTTGGCAAAGATTAGCAAGCCTAGTGTGTTGAGCATGTCGAGAGGTAGAAGATACACCAAAATCAGCTCAGCTGTGGTGACACAAAAAGTTAACTTTTATATAAACTTGATACAATACAATATGTTTGAAAGATTTTGTCATAAGACACTTTTATTCAAACATTTTGTGTCATTTTCCAAGCTGGGATGGAGAATGTAGATTTAGTTTTTGAGCAAATGCCACTTTCTGATCTACCTTAGAATCTTTTTTTCCCCTTTAAATTAAAAGCAAAGATGGAAAATGTGTTGCAGGTTCTATGATGAAAGATATTTGCTTTGAATCCAACAGAAAATGAAGGAACTATATAGCCAGGCCACTTGATTTTTAAAGATTTTATTCGACTTGTGAATTACCGACCAGAGTACTGTTGAAATATTGGCTGATTTCGACCTCTGGCCTTCTGACTGGTGCATCCTTAATTCATCAAGGGTTCACAAATGCACAATCATAACTATCATGTAATTAAGCAACCAACGCTTAATTACAGCTGAAATGTAATAAAGAGAATGTCTTTGTCAATTAGTTGGGATAATCACAATACTTTGTTGATAAACGGTAGATATGATTGTGTCGGTGTACAGCAATAAATTTACATGCATCGAAAACAAAACTGATCAAAGTCTAAGGGTCCTAAATCGACTGTCACAAATCCCTGCCTTTAAAACAACGAACATTTGAATGCCTGTGAATATGAAGCAATTAGGATGAAATGGCAAAAACGCGCCTTAAGATGAACATATTTATTAGCTAATGAAAACTCAACATTGGTCGACCGCTGTGACAAATGTGACAAATTTATGGCTTTGATGTTCGGAGGCATTTTTCCACAAAACTGAAGGCTCCTATGCTAGCATTTCCTGTATCCTAAGACTTCCTAAAATGCTTGTCAACAGCACATGGGCCCAACAATGTTTTTGAAATGTGTGAAACGCAGTTAAAACATGACTCGAGTTTGTGTGTTTTTCACCCAGTCTAGGCGCCGCCAGGGTATAATTTTGGGCGAAGTCGCTGCGAAGACCATACAGGAGGTTCCTCTATTCACCTGACACGGCCTAGATAGCCTTAAAGCTAGCTGTTGATGGCAATTTATACAAAAAAAAACATTCGTTTAAATTTATAAGCAAACCAAATGAATAGCAACAATTATGAAACTGCAAATTACGAGCTTTTGTCGGGTAAATCTCCATAAATTCCTGACGCTGCTAGCAGACAACCAGCTGTTTAACCTGACAGGCTCCTTAGCTAGCAGCTTTAGCTCAGCCACCGTTGGTTACGATGAACAGTTACCGTTAGTCGCGATTTTAAACAACACGCGAGCTTCAGCCACAGCCACGAACTCAGCTCTAAACCTGACAACTGTAGAAACTCAGAGAGGTGTTTCCGAGGCGATTGCGAATGAATGGAAATTTGCTGGAACCGAGGCTACACGCCCAGTTCGGGCTAGCTAGCTGCAGACGCGGACAGCCCCACTTCCTGTTTCAGCAAATTGTTCGACATTACGGCTCCGTCTGGAGCGAGGCGCTGCTCGGTGAAGCAGCGGGCCGAAGACGCAAACCTACCCCGGTTCCATTGTCACAGACCACTACTTTCCTTCCCTGGCTGTCCATTGTGTAAAAGCCCAGTTGCCGCTGAACCCTCCTCAACTTTCTTCGGCAAGCCGGAAGGAAGACACAGCAGCCCGGCCAAGAAGAGGAAGGGAAGGGTGCTCATCCGGTATGTGACGGAGGCGCTAAAATCAATGGCGACTCCCTCTGAAATTGTTAGGTCTTCGACATAAAATGCTTTTATATACAGATATTTATGTATTTGTGCATATGTCTAGTTTCATAAACTTGTTATGAGGTTATAATAGAAGTATTTTAAGTTTTTATATTAAAGTCAGTTTTTATTTTTTGTCATTTGAGTTCAATACATATTTGATGCTTGTCTATGGAGGCCAGCAAATGCCAAGAAATAATTAATAAAACCGTACATTTGTTCCATCTTCTATTTAGCTGTTTTACATGAGTTGCATTAGTATTACTTTAAACCACTGGTGTTCATGTTTACCAATAAAATGAATGAAGTTTGTGTGTTTTTTTAAGTACTTCTACTTGTCCCTTTCTCCTTCTCTGAGGTCAAACTGTCATATGTTGCCACGGAAGAGACTAGTTACTAAGCAAAATTATGTTGGTTCAGAGAGCCTACAATATTAAATTGCTTCATTACCTGTGACTCATCCTTCTGCCATGATTTGAACTTCCGTCGATGGATGATCACATAGGATTTGTAACTGCACCATCTTGCTGCCTGTCACTGCTTATGCTGTTACTGCCATAAACAAAACATATTGTGTTTCTTGATTTTTAAACAGGAATTTGTTGACTGGAGGTGTACTGCATATTGTCATCACAGAAAGATAATTTGTTGAGGAGTACAGACGGCTACAAAGGTCGTCTGTGCAGGAGACGCAGCTTAGCACTATGGATCAAAACAGGTGAAGAAGTTTGTTTGTTTGTTTACCTCACCCACAACCTCCCCCCCCCTAAAAAAACATACTCTCGATTAGAAACATGTTTTGTGGCAGAGCAGTAAAAATCCCACAATTGTTCAATTTGTGGATAATTCCTTCAACTGTGATTCACTGAAGTCCCTCAGTCTGTGACTTTGTTTCTCATCTGTTCTTGAATATTTTTAGATTGTAACCTTAAGAGATATTTTAACCCACTTCTCATTGTGAGACTGTTTCAATGATTTTTTTGATTCTACAGCTTTTGTCAGTACTTAGGCCTGGATGTGGGAAGTTAATTTAAATTCTAGAAATTTTGCTTTCACATAGGGCTTGGAGACCTTTTTGAATTAATATCAGAAATTAATATTTAATAAATAGATATCGGATATATTTTTTATGATAATTTAAAACATTTGAGTATAACACCAAAATGTACATAAATGCAACTTCCCATCTTCAGGTCTTCTCAGTTGATCCATAAAGTCCATCCTCAATAACATGTGAGCAAAAATCAACCTATAATTTGTTACTTATGAGTTTACATTTAGTCTGACACATTTTTATTTAAAATAAAAATATGCATACTCAAAATATTCAAAGAATACAACATTATACAATACCTAAAGTAAATACATGTAGGTTAATTCCGCAACAAAATCCAAAGACTGAACCTGAAGACAGTAATACTTGGATACACTGTAATGCAGCTGCATATCTGCTTAAGTTTTAATAGTTAAGTTTTGATTGCCTTCCATTTTGAATAAGATACATTAAGTAGCCAGCAGGTGGCGTAGTTTGATCAAAACATGACGATCCTTGTCCAAACAAAACATGACGATCCTTGTCCAAACAAGTTAGGCCAGTATGAGGCATCTCATATTGTACTTCTTAAAATCTACATCAGCTCATGTACTGTACACACTTATATTTTGTTCTTTATTTGTCTTTCCAAACAAGTGAGTTATCAGTGGCTGCTGAGCAGCTAGAGTAGTTTTGGGGAATTGTGAGCTTCGGGTGCGAGAAAGACGGGGAACATCAGAACTTTGGCCTGCATGAAGGACAAGTCAGGAAGTTCAGAGATCATTCTGCCAGCTTCTCCACTCAGCTCTTCTTGGGCTGAAGGCTTCCTGATCAAACACAAATAAACAGATTTAAACACTAGTAGCTGGTCTCTGTAAGTGGTTTTATATTAGGCTTAACAAAACACACAAAAAAAAGCACAGCATCTGAACATTTCTGCTGACAGACCTGGGGGAAATGCTCGTGCTTTCTGCTGTGGACATCAGGCGGTTCAGAGTGTCTTGTGTCTGACTGGTTTTATTGTCAGTTTCCAGTTTGCTTATGATTATTTTATACAGCTCACAGTCGACGCCTTCAGATGCAGATGTGCGCAGCAAACACATAAAAGGGAACAAAAGCTTGAAGAGATTTATAGGAGCAGAAATCAACAATGTTTGCAGAAAAACGTCTTGTGTGCTGACCTGGAGGAGGACTGCTGGCTCGGCTGCTGCTGCTGGATCTGCTCTCATCCTCAGACCCAAAATAATCAAGGTTCAGTGAGGAGCAGACTGATATCAACAGGAAAAATTGAATGGAAATGAGAACTGATTTTGGGTTTCAGTCTCTATTTAACCTCACTATCTATTTTAAAGCTTCTTCTAAATGCACTTTTAGTTTTTAATCCAAAAAAAGAGCAACTTAGAGGAGATGCTGTTTTTTCCTGTCCGTGTCTGTAAAGAACTGTGTTATCTTCATAAAACAACCATTAAAAAAATAATTATTAAAAAAAAAAACATACAAAAACAAATCTCAACTTTGTGTTCAAACCAGAGAGCAAAGTTGTAAAATCTTAACAGTTGTGAAAGGTATGAGGAGAAGACCAAACAGGGAGGATCAACTGATTTATTTCAGTATTTACAAGGATTTTCCCAACAGTCTTTTATGCAGTGCATGTCTCAATTTGAGCAATAAAATTGGGTAAGTGAAAAAAAATAATGATAATGAAAATAACAGTCTAAGGTAGAAAAAAAACCTGCAGGCACAAGTTACAACTCATCAATAAAAATTTCTGCCGTATTTTTGAAGCAGAAACCATTTTTATCGGTAGTGAAAAACAAAAATTATTAAAATGATTGTATTACAAGCCTCAAAACGAGGAGTTCGGCTTGTGAGACAAGTTAAGGTGCTTAAATAATAAAGAAAACGATCAAAATCAGTGGAAAGTTACAGGTGGATTGAAGATGCAGGTTTTAAATCTTTATTTACATTTGTTGCAATGAGGTGTGATTCATTTTTTGATTAAAGTTGTTTTTTTTTTAGAACATACTGCCCTCTATAGGTCAGAGGAAATTGTGTTTTGGTTTTTTTGTTATAGGGAACATTTGAAATTCTTCATTTTAATAAAGAATGTTAGCATTTCAGAAAATGTGGATGTTAATGAGCTAGATGAGCTCATTTGAATCAGTGTTTATGTCGTTTTCATTTGAGGAGGAAAAACATGCTGATCAGGTGAGTTTCTGAAGGTAACAGGTGTGTTCACTGTGCATGTTAGTAAACATTCAGTTTAGTTATGCTGGGAGTTAATATTTTAAGTACTGCAGCACAGGCACATTTCATTTACAGTGCATACGATCTGAAGATTTTTACATTTCGTAATGCCGAAACCACAAACTAGTGTTTGTGATGGATGTCTTATGAAAAGTCAACACAAGGAAGTGCAGAAGAAAAAGGAGACGAGATACTCAAAATTGTCTTTGAGAAAAAAACAAATGTGTGAAAATTTGCTGGGGCTTGAGGTATTTTGCAATGAAGATTTTAATGTTCTTTTTATGAACTTTACTTTAAAATAATGCTACAATTATGTCCAGTTTTATGACAATTTTAGATTTTTTTTTTTACCCCTAAGCAGTTTCACAAATCAAATTTTTGCAGATTTAATAAAATATTCCTGAGCAAAGATGAGCTGATGACCTGAGCTGAAGTGTGCATTGTTTATATTTTATCTATAAAGCTTTTCCAAAGCTCAGGGGAACCATCAAGGCCTTGTGAGGCAAACATAAAAAAATAATATGGAAATCTTTTTGTATGTTTTTTTGAAGTAGAAACCTTCATACGTCAAATGAAGGTGACAACCAGATGACACTGACAAAACTACAACAACAACTGAGTTTTGCAGCAGGCATAAAACAAAATCTTACCAAGTAATTTTTATGTAGTTTCTAATGAAAATATTTGCGAACACTTGAAATAGATAAGGCAAAGCTAACCTCCAAATAACTTTTCAGCAAGAAATGGGAGCTTGTGTTGAGTCGGTAATTCCTTTATATTGTCAGAAAAAGTGCTAGTTCTAGTGGCAGATTATTTCACTTACAACATGAGGAAAATGTTGTCATAAATTAAATGATCTGCCAATGAACTCGTACGTTTTCATAAATATTAAGGAATTATTGACTTAAAACAAGCCCCTATGTCTTGCTGAAAAGTTACTTGGAAGTTTGTTTTGTACTACTTGAAGTGTGCTAAAATATTTGCACTAGAAACTACACAAAAATTGCCTGATAAGATTTTGTGTCTTTGCAGTGTATATGCTCTGAATATGAATATGTTCATCTTTTCCTCATCACAATGGGACTGATAAATACTGAGATAAACACTCCAAAAGGTCACAGGAGGTAAAGCAGACAACAGAAGAAGTAGATTTTCTTCTTGCTTTGCTATCAACATGATTTCAGCGCTAATCAGCTGAGTGAAGAAAGGGGAAAAAAAAGAACTAAAAAAAAAAAAAAGACAGAAGCAGAGGAAGTGAGACACTTTTTGGCTTTTTAGCAGCAGCCATTAGGCGTGGCTGGTGGACTACTAGGGGTGAGGGGCTCGGCAAGGGGACGTACCCTCCTGGGAGCCGCTAAGGCCTCTACAGCTCCAGTCCGGCTGGTTCGAAGGAAGCTCCTGCTCAGACAAACTCATATCAGTGTTTCGGCTTTGAACGTGTTTATTGTCGTGTTGATTTAGCGAACGCCACCTGCGCCGAACGAGTCGAGGCTTTCTGTGTTTCCGGGGGCCCTGAGGATGCCGAGACGGCCGTGCGTCCTGGAGAGCAAACAGCCGGCGAAGGGTCTTTGGTGGGGTCTAGCATTCCCTGATGAAATATTGAGAGACTTAGTTACATTTTTAATAGTGTGGTGAACAGATTAAATGAATCAGATTAAACGGTAGCGTTGTGATTAATCACAATGCTTAACTTTGTAAGCTTAGAAAGCAGCTGCTCATGTGAAAAACCACCACTGTATGCACGTTTTAAAAAAATAAATAAATAAAAATAAGTTTTATTGTCTAAAATGAAACATGTTTGAATATTCTCAGTTTTATAGGTTTTCATATTCAGGGAGGCTTAAAGGAAGTCATTTTGTGTAAAATCGTCTTTTAAACTGAATCATGCTTCGGTGGAAGGACAGTTCATACTACCCTGGTTTTATCCAAATTTGTAAGCACACCACTTTGACTCTCCTCGCTCACCTTTTCGCTTGCATTTGCGAGTTTGCATTGTTGACCGCAGTATAAGGCCGTGTAACACGCTGCTGTGAACCCTCAGCAGGAGAGAGGCTTTTAGGTATAAATGGGTAATTCCAATTAATTGGCACTAGGTTATATTAGCGTGTTAAATTTAGCAATGACACAATAATTAGTGCGAACTAAGTTTACCGTCATGACATGAAAAGTTTGAGGACTCACCAAAGAAGAGGCATACGCTGGCACAGTCACCGCCTGCTTCTTTGTGCCAATAAAAACCTTTCAGGGGACAAAAACACAAAACAATCCCTTACATATGCTGGCTCAGGTTTGTGAGGACACAGTTAAATAAGATATCCTTCTGGAAATGAACTCACAATGTTCCTAGTGTCCACACCAAGGCACCTGAGCAGTGTGGTGTTACTGTGAGAACCTCCCCACTTAAACTGCAGCCCAAGTGAGCAGTGCATGTCCTCAGATAGGCTGAACATCAGCTGCTGAATCCTGAGAGGAGTTGGGAGTGAAACACAAAAAAACAGCAAAAATGGTTACTTTTGTATCTTAGACAATCTGACTGGATGCATCTCCAGCTCACGACTGGCAAGCCCACATCCAATGTGTGCTTAGCCAAAAACGGCAGTGTGAAACCACAGAGACTGCAAATCTAAACAAAACAAAGGTATAAATGAGGCTTCATGCCACTTTTAAGTAAAATAATTCGATTTTTTTAAAGGTGTGTCATCATCAAAGGCTATCAGGTTACTTAGGTAAGCGTTTCAAAACAGGTTTGGAGAATCAAAACTTTGCAAATGACATGCAAATGTCTATTATGCAGACAGGATTTGAGAAGCAAATCTGATTCAAACAGCCCTGTAAGGTATAATGTTTTTTTGACGGTTCTAGAACATCAACTATGATGTTTCAGACATCATAGTTGCCCCCAAAAATGATGGATAAAATAATTTTTCCACATTCTGCTAATAAAATTTAAGACCAAAAACAACTATTACTTTGGGGAATGGCATAACAATCAAGCATAGCATTAACTGTGAACCTGGGTTTGTGTCCATTATAGAGGCAAAAAGCTAGCTTGCTTGCAACAGAAGATTAGCAGCTTTTACCAAAAAACCTCTTTGAACAGTCCTGCCATAAAAACCTGATTAACGTTGTAAATACTAAAAGGTAACTTTTTATGAATTCAAGACATTTTAAGGCCTTAAATTTAGACACACAAATGTAAGACTTTTAAGGAATGCTAGTATGTGGACACCCTGAATAAATAAAGTGTTTTTCAGATGTCATAATTGAAAAAAAAAATTGCTGGATAATCAAGCAGGCTTAGCTACTAGCACTCATGAGAAACTCAACATTTTATATTTCAGGTGACAGAAGCAATGTAGACACTGTCAGATTTTGTAGATTTGTGACCCATTCAGAAATTTCATGATAATAATGAATGTCTTTTCTAGCTGTATAGTCTGCACACAGCAGCTGAGTTATTTGTCGTCACCTCAGAGAACGGCTGAGTTCTGGGATCTCCTCGTCCGTCTCTGGAAGCTGCTGGATGTGAAGTAAAGCACCGAGGTTGGGCAGGTCCTCCTCGCCTTCCACAGCTGGGACACAGACCTCTGGGAAGCTGGACTGGAGGAGCCGCTGGACATGGCAGGACAGGGACTCCTGAACAGTTAGGAAAAAAAAAATAAGATTTCAGAAAAAAAAAGTGCTGATGAATGGTAACAAAGCCGGGATTCTATTTCAGAGATCTGTTTTCTACCTGACAGCTATTCATTCTTGTGACTCCATCCTGTTCATCGCCCGGCTCACTGCGCTGTGTCGGCGATCTTCCCTCCGTCGGTCCGCTTTGGTCTGTGAAGTCCGCCCACGTTGGTCTCTCTTCATCGTCTTGCGTGGGCGCCGAGCAGAAATCCGCAAAGCTGTCACTGGACGGAAGGGTTCCCAGACTCTCTGCTCCCATGTCAGCTGTCTCAGCAGGTTCCCTGTGACGCAAGGTATTAGCGTCAGTGAAGTATGTACATTTCTCTGGGCAGGAGGTAGCCGAGGTTTCCTGAGTGGCATCACAGTGAGGCACATTCAACTCAGACGAGCCGAGGTTCACAGCGCCGCTGACGACAGCGTCAGAATATCCACAGTCTTCCACCTCATCATCAGTCTGGTCCCAATCAGACTGGGCATACTGAGATGTAAGGGATGAAACATTTGGTTCCTCTGACGACCAATCATCATGACAAGACACCCTGTCAGAAGCAGGCTCTGCCACAAAGAGATCCAGCGTTTTCCCAACATTTTGCCCTTCCTCAGCTGATCTTAAACAAACATCTCCTTCGTCTCCCTGAGGCTGACTGTGGTCCTGAGGTGGTTGCACAAGTGCTGCATCTCTTTTCTCACAGTGCTCGTCCTCAACGCGGATACCTCCATTTGCCTTGCATGCATGCTGGGATCGAGGCTCAGACTCCATGACAACCTCCTGTCCGGAAACACATTCGCGTTCGTCCACTTTCCCATCCCACTGCTCCGTGAAGCCACAACACCAGGGATGTCCTGCCTGCTCTGTGAAAATAGCAAAATCAGCAAACCCCGTGTCCTCCACAGAAGAGTCCTGGGCTCCAGGCTGTAGGTCTTCTCCAGCCCGTCCATTCGAGTAGTGCAAAGACGATTCAGGATCGCGGCTCCCAGTTTCCTCAGACGGTGTGCTTTGCTTTTGTTCAACCAGGTGACCATCCGACTGACGGGTTGCTGACTCTGTGAAGTCGGCATGACCAAGCGGGGAGCAAAGGCCTCCTATAGAGAAATCCCCAAATTCATCCTCCTCTGACCTCACCCCATCATCACCATCATCATCCAGCGGAGGAGGGGAGTAAGAAGGCGGGGGAATTACATCAGGCTCCATATGTTTGTCTAGCAGGACCCAAAGGCCTCATGCGTCTGGCAGGACAGGTGAGGAAAACAAGAAGAGTAGAGTCACAATCCTTTAAGAGCCTTTTTTTTTATTATATTCAGCTTGGGTTAAAGCTTTAGTTATAAACCTATTGAGTGCTGGTGATGAAATAACTCTTGCTTAACAACAAAGTGTCTTGAAGCTTTGTTCAGGATGCTCAACAAAGCATCCTGAAGTCTTATTTTCTGAAATGTTGTGATACATTACAAAGGTCATAAAGGCTCCTGTTGCCCAAAACACAACACATGACAAGACAGTCACACTTTGCACTAAATACAAGACAACTATGTTAAAGTCAGAATTATTCAACCCTTTCTGATGCCGTTTATCATCCTAACCAATGTAAAGCAAACAGACCTTTGGACTATGTGTCATTTTGTGTTCTGCATCACCATGTGCCATCAGCAGCAGCATCTACACCAGCATTCAGAAAGACAACCCAGTGGTACTTCTTGGGACAACAAACTGGTACAGAATGCATCTATGGATTGTCTGTGTTGTGTTTAACCAGTTAGGTTGGCATTAGGACATAATTAGTGCAACATAGGATAGAAAACAGCTCCTACCAGACACATCAGGGTGTTTGTGATTTCAACAGTAACCTCAGGACAGAAAACAGGGCCTACCGGACATAAACTAATCATCTTGCTTATTGTTGATGGTTTATATATACTTTGCAAAGAAGTCAGATCGAGGGGGAAGACTATGAAAATATTAAATTTTAAGTCTTGCTACTGATTATGAGTCTGTTTAGGGTTACACAAGAATTTGCTTTGATTATTTCAATGTTCTGCTGGATGTATACTTGCATTCTGTTCACTGGAATTCTTCATTGGGATTGCACATCCAGGAGGAGTCAATGCTGCAATTCAATGTCTCAATACCACCTGCTGGGTTTCCTTAGTTAGAAACTTTTCAAACTACTTTGACTACTCATTTGAGAACATTGTTTGATAACTTGGATAAACTGGAATGTATGTAATATTTAAATGAATGCTTTTTCTGCAAATGCCTTGAGATGACATTTGTTGTGAACTAGCCCTGTGTAAATAAAATCAACTGAATTTAATTGAATACATTTTCACGTTGCAACGTCCTCAAGACTATATGCAAAGACTCTCATAATATGATCCTGTTATCAAGTTTGATAATACATTAGAAAATATAACTATCTTCTGTAAAGCAGTTTCTTTACGAGAAATAAAAGTACTTTTTGAAAAAAAACAACCTTTGACAAAGTATTAAACATACAGTTCATGAAGCCCACGTTTCTGTTTTCAACACTAGGATTTTTTTTTTTGTTTTAAATTAGTAACATAAAACACCAAACCAATTTTTTTTTTTTAAAAAAAAGTCACTTACAGATGACTTATTTTAAATGTCATCTGGAAGTGAAAAATCCTCATAATCAACAGAAACTAAGGCTTTCAAGCATCCCTCCGGGTATAATGAATCCATTTAAAATGTCTGATATTCTAATTGGTTTTTTTAACGAGTCAGTGTTGATTCATATGAAGTCAACACTGACTGTTGTTGTTGTTGAGACTCTGCTGACGGTTAATATTTTGCGGAAGTTGTCTTTCCGAGTTTCCCTAAAAGTCAGTTTTACGTGTTCGCGTGAAGCTCGTGTCTTTAGTGAGGCGTTTGTGGTTTATGGAAAAAAGAAAAAAAGAGAGAGAGAAACGGAGGCCAGTAAACTGATACACAGGAAAGATAATCCGCCTCGGAGTTCAGCAGCGGCTCCGCTGTAATGGATTAACGGCTTTATTATACCGTCCCTTAATTTAAACTCACTGTCTGTTTCACCATCTAATGGCTTTCTGCGTCCCTCGTCGTTGTTTCCATGCCGTGGGTCAGCGCGGCTCTCCGGGTTTGTTGGCAGGACGGAGAAAACAGCCACTGCGGTTCCGACCTGGTCCGTTTCCCCCGGTCTTCATGCTGAACACAGCGGACAGGTGACAAAAACAGACAAATGTCAAGCCATAGAAACATGAAGTGAGAACTGACACCATAAAGTAAAAACAGAGAGAGAAGCGGCTCGTCGCCGTAATCCGACACCGACAAATTAATTGTGTTTTAAACGGAAACCTGACCCCATTAGCTCGTTATTTTTGGTTCCCATCGCTGCAGATTAGCTAGCTTTATCGCCAGTGCCCGGTTTCTGTTGTAACTTATCAGCCGCCATGTTATAAAGCCCTATCTCTCTACAGCCGAGTAAAAGTTAGTACATTTTTGTCAGTACCGCTTGTTTTAGTTTCCCAGCAACAATTAATTTTGCTTGCCTGTCAGAACCGCAGCCCTATTCCTCCATCATCTCTCAGCATTATTCTGTATGGGAATGAGGTGGAAACTGGAATGCAGAACAGAGGAAGAGGTCTCACTCCTCGCCATATGTCAGTACATCCTTGCTGACACAGAAAATGAGCAGTAGAAACATCTAGGATTGGGACTGTCGGTAATAAATTCCTAATTTTAAAAAATGCGCAGTACATGGGGCAAAGGGTAACTCAAACTTTCCAAAAGAAATACAGGTAATTTTGTAGTGTGAAGCATTTTTACAAGCTTAGCAGCGTGTTGCCTCTTTAAAATAGACAATCTATGGTGAAGTCCAGGTTTCCTGGGTGAAATACTACCTCCTGCTGGCCAAATTTGGTAAGACAATTTTATTGAATAGCACATCTTCAGTAATTCAAGGCGATGTAAAGTGCATTACATGTTTAGAATGAAGATAAAACAATAATAAAGCAAAAAAAAAAAAAAAAAACATTAGAGTGGCAAAGTAAGAAATAATGATGACATGTTGAAAGACAGACTACAATTTATGATGCTCCATTTGTTATTCATTAAACAAATACAACTTTTTAACATTGAAATAAAGGGTTTTGTCTTTTTTTTTTGCAGTTTCCACCCCATCTGGAACAAAATTCCATAAAAACTGAATAACCTTATGTCTAATCACTGTAATTAAAATATCATAATTTTAGGAATATTTATAAAGAAAAAAAGTGCTTTTTTTATTATAACGTGTCATAATCAAAGTGAAATAAATAAGTTAAACTTTTTTTAGCTGTGCCATGTAGAAAAAGACACTGCATTACTCGTGCAAGACATTTTGTACCCGTAATTTCAAAAATATATATATATATTTTTAATTTTTTTATATAACAGGTTTCCGACATCACAAGCTGGAAATAAAAACGCTCATTTCCAGAATCTCAACTTAAATCCAAAGGTTAACTAAAAACAACTGTTAATAAAACCAACAACACAGCAGATATTTTTTGTTCATTATTCTCAGTTTAATTACAGAGATATAACAGGAAGTAAACGGACATGAAACACACCAAACTTCTGTATATAATCCTGCACACCATTTTTTTTTTTTTTTAACGTGTGGGGAAAAAACAATTTGCATTCGACAATTCTAAACATCTAGACATTATGAAGAGCAAAACAGCAGATTAAGAGAAAACCTGCACGAGCGCGTGCGATTTTCTCGCTTCGTGGATCTTCATGTGCACGTTCAGGTCTGAAATCGTGTGAAACTTTTTGCCACACCGGAAGCAGCGAAACGCTCTCTCCCCGGTGACGTCTGTCGTGTACGAGGTCTGCCTGGAGCATATCTTCAGGTGATACGAGTGCGCCACCATTTTGCCGCAGGTGTCGCAGAAGTACGGCTTCTCGCCCGTGTGCTTCCTCATGTGAACCCTGAGGTTGGAGGTCTGGGTGAAGGTCTTCTCGCAGAAGGGACACCTGTGCGGCTTCTCCCCCGTGTGGACCCTCATGTGCAAAGCCAGGCTGTCCCTGCGGGCGAACTCCTTGTGGCACTCGAAGCATTTGAAGGCCTTGTGTCCGGCGTGGGCCTCCTCCATGTGCCTGATCAGGTCGCAGTCTCTGATGAAGGAAACGCCGCACATACGGCAGGACTTCTTATCCAGGATGTGTTCCTGTTGCAGAAAGGCAGCGTCCCTGTGACTTTGGCCGAAGTACGCCAAATCGGAGCCGGGATTCTCAGTCCACTCGTTGTGCACGTCGTCGCCGTTCAGAGTCACGGTGATGGAGCTGACGGTTGGCAGCAGCTCGGGGTCGCAGCGAGGGGCCGTCTGTGACTCGCAGGGAAAAACTTTTACGTCCTCTGAGGAATCAGTATCCGGGTCGGAGCTGATGCAGACATCCAGCTGCTCCTCTTTAACGCCCTGACTTTCCTTCTGCTGCTCGACTGGGAGCTGAATTTGACTCTCTGGCACTAATAGGAGACAAAATACACACGATAAATGTCAAACTCCAGAGAAAAAACGTTGCTTTGTGTATTTATTGTCAATTAATGTTAGTAAATGTTCACAAAGTTCTTGTGAAGCAAGAACAGAAATCGACAGATACATTTACCCCCAGCTGCATTCCATACATCACAGTTACTTAGCAACAGCTAAGTGACGAAGGCGTCGCTACCAACCTCCTTTGAACAAAGACACTCGGGGCTGTAAGACGGCCAGCTGCTCGATCTGCTGCCTCAGCTGGATGATTTCCCTCTTGGAGCGGACCACCTCCTCCTGGTACTCCGCTATTGTCCTCTCCACGAGCCCGAAGATTTCCTCCGCAGCCGCCGTTAGCCGCTCGCTGACCAGCAGCCTGAGCTGCCGCATCCCCGACATGACAGAACCAACCCGGGGACGGAAGAAGACAACAGGAAGGATGCCGCCCCGGACTGTCCAACAAAGAAACGATCACTGCAGTCCAAAAAGCATAGCCGTAATCTAATTAAATGACAGCGCCGTGACTCGCTCCCCCCCCAAATCCCCCTCGCTCTCCTGTAAAAGTAAAATGCATCCACAGCGCCCCCTGCAGCTTAGGAGTACTTAAAGAGTTTGAAACGAGCTTATGTAAAACTTGTACTAGGTCTGTTTTTAGGGGAACATTATTTATTTATTACAAATATATGGCGTGTTTAAAAAAAATAAAAATAAGATAGTAGGTACAAAGATATATTTCCATTCATTAACACGGTTTTTACGTTCATGTTATTTTGGGAGTAACCAGAACTGCAAACATTGACCTATTTGTTTCTCAAAAGTAAATCTTTCTTCTCCAATAAGAAAACAGTCAACCCAGACATTTTTGAAACTATGATTTACAGATCAGTTTTCAACAAAAATCGTGCTGTCTGGTTCTTAAAAAAAAACATTTAAATGGTTTAGTTTATTGTTGGTCAGATGAAATAATTTTTAAAAATGCACCGAAAGTTTTTTTGTGTGTGTGATCCCAAGAGCTTTCAACAATTGGACATCTCAAGATTGGTTGTGTGAATTTCTGTCTTGCTCACATCTTATACAAACCCCGATTTTATTGTCTTAGGTTAATTTAAATGAAACTGGTCATATAAGTGATGCCACTGTTGACGCAGAATCGGCACTTCTGTCAATCTGACCACATGCCACGTCCTTCTGACGAATGAAATCCCCTTTCTTGTAATGCTTACAGCAGCTGGAGGCAATCAGAATTAGCAGGAATTATGGTTGGAATATATTACTTTCAGCTTAAATTCGTGAAACTTTACAAAAAAAAAAAAAGTCCTGGAAAAGTTGTGGCATATAGCCAGCAACCCCAAGTGTTAGTGAAAAGTTACTGCTAAAGTTAGCTGTCGCTCTTAGCCTGAATTTCCAAACCATTATCAAAAGGAGGCTCAGTGGTGTCTAAAGCCAGTCCTGCATGTTTTTGTTCTCTGAACTCATCATTTTCCAAAGTGCTAAAGGTACCTACACCTGAAAACAAGTGATTGCATTTGAGAGCTCACTACAATCGGACATAAAATAAACACAGTTCAGAGGCCAAACGATAAACTATCCCAAAAAAGACCCGATACGTGCTAAATCTCAAATAGTTCTTTATTTAGAGATACATCGCAATAAGCTGGCGAAGAACGACTCAAATCAAACTTGAAGAGTTAAACGGATGTTTTATGGGTTGAAAAAGTTTCATGCGATTCCAAAAGACCTCAATAATAATAACGCAAATAATAATATATAAAAATAATAAATAGTCTGCATCTGTAGCATCTGTATCTGATCAGAAGAAAGCTTCCATAATACGACATGATTCCCAGGCTTTTCTGTGCAAACTCAGGTTTGTAGTGTAAGTTTGTTTTTGCCACCCAGGATTCAGTTAGAAGACCGCTAATGTCCACTAACGTCCATCGTGACTGAGGACCGCCTGGAGCATGTTTTCAGGTGATACGAGTGCGCCACCATTTTGCCACACGAGCTGCAGAAGTACGGCTTCTCGCCCGTGTGCTTCCTCATGTGAACCCTGAGGTTGGAGGTCTGGGTGAAGAACTTCCCGCAGAAGGGACACCTGTGCGGCTTCTCGCCCGTGTGGACCCTCAGATGCAAAGTCAAGCTGTCTTTCCGGGCGAACTCCTTGTGACACTCGAAGCATTTGAAGGCCTTCTGCCCCGCGTGAGACTCGTCCACGTGCCTGATCAGGTCGCAGTCCCTGGCGAAGGACACGCCGCAGAGACGGCAGGACTTGCTGTCCAGGACGTGCTCCGGCTGCACGAGGGAAACGCAGCCGCGACTTGGACCAGAATGCGACGGGCTCCCGCCAAAATTCTCAATCCATTTTCCCTCATCGCAGCTGTTCAGAGTCACAGTTATGGAGCTGACGCTTGGTAACGGCTGGGGGTGGACGTGAGGGGTTGCCTCTGATTCGAAAGGAGAAACTTTTACGTCGTCAGAAGAATCGGTGTTCACGTCTGGGATGATGCAGACATCCAGCTGCTCCTCTTTAACCTGCTGATGGTCTCCATCGTCCTTTTGTTCCTCTGCTGGGGGCTGGCTTTGGATCTCTGACACTGACTCGACATCTAGGAGACAGAAAACATGCAAAAGAGGGACTTTATATACCAATTCACAAAGTAAAACACATTATATATTTTAACTGCATGTAAGCCTTAAACTTTGTGTTAACTGTGACAATTTTTCTCTTTTAGTTAGGAATCGGCTTTTACTGCATCGTTTGAATCAGTTGTCGTAATAAAAAAAAATTAAAAAATTGTATCATGATGCAAATCTTGTTTCAATGAAGTTTCAGTTCATGTTAAAATGTATTTAGGCTGCAAACAGGTGAGCAATAACACAACAGTACATTTTTGAAAAGTAGAAGTGGAGCATCTTGCATGTCCAACAAAGAACGCACCAAGTGGTTTCCGGATGATAAGTCAACAGCAAAACACTTCACTTCCAGCAGCCATTGTAAAGAACATAAAAACACAGCTGACCAAGTGTGCTCCAGTTCCGCTTGGGTTGTTGGGTAACAGCCAGGTTGCTTGCAGTGAAACTCAATAATCAGGAGGATTTGTTTGTGTTTTATTTTGGGCTATTTGTAGAAGCAGAAGGAGGTCTAAAAACGAAACCAGCAGAATGTGAATTTTACAGAATAGGCCTCCTCTAAAGCTTGTTATTGTCAAGACAGACAGAATAACTGACCTACGACTGTAAAAGGTCTATTCGCTTCTTGCTACAGTTGAACTGTGTTTAGCTATGTTTTACAGCACATGTTCTTAAACCAAATTACTGCGGTTGTTGCTCACATGGCCGTAAAGTGCTTGTTTCTTCTTCGCCTTCTTTTTTTTTCTCTCCCTCTCCATCGGTTACTTAGCAACAGCTCGAAGGCTGCTGTCGCTACCAACCTCCTTTGAACAAAGACACTCGGGGCTGTAAGACGGCCAGCTGCTCGATCTGCTGCCTCAGCTGGATGATTTCCCTCTTGGAGCGGACCACCTCCTCCTGGTACTCCGCTATTGTCCTCTCCACGAGCCCGAAGATTTCCTCCGCAGCCGCCGTTAGCCGCTCGCTGACCAGCAGCCTGAGCTGCCGCATCCCCGACATGACAGAACCAACCCGGGGACGGAAGAAGACACAGCCAGCGAACAGGAAGGGAGAACGGAAAAGGAAACTAGTCCCTTTGAACAGCAAATGAGTTCCCCGTCTAAGTAATTTAATTAATCTTTTGTCTTTTCATACTGGCTTATAAAAAACACGTTTAAAAAATGTAGTTCTGTAGCGCCCCCTGTCGCCCAGGAGGACTATAACGGCTTCCTGTGATGCCGTTTGGGTTTTATACCATCAGAAATAGTCTTTTGAATTCCTTAAGAAATAGACTACTAGACCACAATAGGTTTCTTTTTTTTTCTTTCTTTTTGAGCTTGTACAAAGGAGAAAGCTGTTAGGGTCACTTGGAAGAAAATAAAATGGTGGATGCTTTTTGTGATTTCTCTCTCTCTTCCATAACATAATTAACGCTGAAATACATATAAATAAACAAAACTAGGGATGAAGAATTTGAAATTCTGTTGAATGTTTACAGAAGAAATAGGAAAAATACATTGAAGAAACTGCCATGTTTTCTTCCTACACAGGCTTGATAGATGTCACAACCATCACATGCATGCCAGGATGTTCATAGAAAGAAAAATACTTTATTGTTCTCAAGCATAACATTTCAAACGGATGAGTCTTGTGTCGGTGCCATTTTTGACTTTATCATTCATACTTTTTTTTCTCTTCAACATTTATTATTTCCTTTTCTTACTTAAAACATCTAAAAAACTTCCTTGCTCTGGTGGCCGGCTGGTTAAGACATTTATCGTTGCACGCAGGGTGATGCATCTTGAGATGCTTATCCAGTGCAACCAGGATGCAAATGATTAGGGCTTGGGGTAGGCCACTCAGCAGCTGTGAGGACATAAATGACAGGGGCCTGCTTTTTGCTGCTCAGACATGAAGAAAATTGAATTTACAGCATTAAAATGTTCCTTTGTTTTTTTTTTCCGAAACAAACTTCGTGGCTCGCCAGTTAAAATTTGCCAGTTAATGCAGCCGGGGCAAAAAGCTTAAATGAAAAGAAATGACAGACTTGTATACCGCTTCATTAGGACACTCAGACGCTTTACTTTAGTACAGTCATGTCATTCACATTTCACGTTTAAGTCACGTTCAATGTTATGGAGAATTTTTTTGGCATCGTGCATCTTGGTGTGGCAGAATTTTACTTCTCTACCAGGCAAAAGTTCTCCAGATTATTTGATTGTGAGTACATCTTTAGACCACTGGTATAAGTAACCTCGGATTTTGTTTGAGGAACTTGTTTCTTCTCTCTGGCTTAAACATTCCCAAACTTAAATTTTTCTCTAAAAAAAAAAAAAGAACTTTTCAGAGAATAGTAAATGGCTTCTGTTTTACAGAACAGATCCAGCGCTTGGCAGAAACCAGCACACCGCTTTCAAACTTACCATCAATCACCTCGACAGGCTTCTTTTTACCCATTATGGAACTTATAAATAAGCAGATGTGAGGAAGACAGCCGAACTTTACTTCTGGTTCTGATATTGGGTACGTAAGCAGAGACCCAAAGCTAAAACCATCAGACCTGTGCAGTCTACTGCCCTTTTGATTCCTGTCTAATTTTCAGTGTTCCAATAAAAAATTATATTTAAAGTTTATTCCTCAACAAAGTTGACTGACTAATTAGACGCATTTTTGTTCCTCACATATTTGCAGGAATGATCCATGTTGTGATTTCTATAATTACACACTTGGAAAGCAGCTCCAAGAACGACCATGACAAATAATCCGACAGCTAAACCAATTGGAGATGATCCAACTCTGTCGACCTGTTGGTTAACGGCAAAGGGTAAGACCCGCCCCCAGGAAAGAAACGGAAACGTTTGCACAAATTGGAAACTGTGACTTCTCAATATGTCTTTATTTAGACAGCGTCATAGAGCAGGCTCACTGATCCTGCAAGTTACAATAAATTATTAGAAAATGACCTGTACAACCACACAACACATTAGAAAGAGATCGGCCTACTTCTACTAGGACACTTTGTAAATAAATGGGACGGAGTATTTCACACAACAACCTTTTAGTTTCTCGCACTTTTAGAAAGTTGTTCCAACCGGAAGGGGAAAAAAATATTAGCAATTAGATATTGAAATAGTTGGGATTTCTTCTTCCTAATCCTTCAGCTTGTAATCAAGGCGTGTGCTGGAAGAGAACATTTTCATTCAGACTTTTCTGTAAACGGCCTCAATGAACATTGAATGATTAATAAAAAATGAACAGCATGCGAGACCAAACTAGAAACTGGGGGGTAACAGTTACCTTTAAGAGCTGCCACACATATTTATGCCTCATAAGTCATTCATAAAATATACAAAATAAATCCCCTGAGGCCACAACCACCAGTGTCTACATCTAAAAAAAAAAAAAATCAAAAAACTAAAAAAAAAAGAAGCTTTCAAAATAAGATGTGGATTGTTTTTTTTACTTGAACACAGGCTGGGAATAAATTCTGGTGGCAATAGGAGCCGGGTTGTGTTTAAATCGGTTACAATCAGAAAGAGAGAGACATTCAGTTCTTCGGTTACATTTTTCCATTTTAAATGGGTTTATAGAGCACATAATCTGATCTGGGAAAAAAAACAATAAACATTTCACAGAGTTTACTTTCCGTCACTTTGTGGAGGATTCATGGGATCATAAGGAGATCAACAAGTACAGAACAGAAGCTTTCTGAGCGCACGTACCAAACCGGGAGTCTCGAAAGTGGGGTTAAAGTGCAACAGAACAAAGAAGGAACATAAGAGTACCCCACAGGGTTGCTATGTGCTGTGCACCCATGTTCTGCAGACATGGTTACGACCTCGGCATGGCATGGATACCGGGGTCAAGGTTTCTAAAAAAAAAAAAAAAAAAAAAACAGAAACCCCCCTGCCCCAAAAAACGATAAAGTTTCTTGAATATTGTTGGTAACAGTTTGACGTTTTTCTTTTCGATGAGATGGTCGAGAAAGTGCAACAGTTGGGTTTGGCTGCGATGGACCTGCTGCCCCTCTCACACCCGTTGTTGCACACCGTCATTTGTTTTCTTGTTTCTACTGTGTAGAAATGCTTTTATCCAGTGACGGTGTAACAAATAAAGAAGCACTGATTAACACTTTTATGGGAGCAGATTAAGATAGGTCTATTAAAAAAAACATTTATATTTCAGAATGAGGCGTTTTCGGGCCTTTTGTCACTTTAAATCCAAATGAGCTGCTGCTGGCCACGCCCTCCAGCTCAATGTTTATACTCATGTGAAAATAACAAAACAAATCTGTAATTATACAACCGTACGTCTTTGAAAATAATTAGTAGCGCTTCTAGTGCAACCAGCAAGAACGTAGCAACTGGTGTCTGAATGCTGAGTCAACAACAAAACTCTCGTCTTTTCCAGCAGGCATTGTACACACACTGGTAAAAACCAGCTGACCAACGTGCTGGAGTTCCGCTTGGGTTACTAGGTGAGGCTCAGTTCCTGCTGATTTGCATCGTTACTTTGTGGAGGACTTTGGTATTTTTCCAGTCACCAAAAAAACATCTGGGTGGATTTTTTTTTTCCTCCAAAGTACTTGTGCTGTTTTTAGAAGCAATAGAAACTCGAACGGAAGTACAAAAAATGTGCAGAATACAAATTTTGCACGATAAGCCTCCTGTAAGACTGACAATCCTACCCAAAAAGATCCATCCAACCAAGATCAGCATTAATTTCAGGAGTCGTTTTTTTGCTCAGGTCTTTGTTTCGTAATCATTAAACTTGTAATATCCTCCACTATTTTATCAGCAGTAGGAACATTTATGGTGTTAAGTAAAAGCAACCCTAGCTTGCAATGCACTTGTTTTTATCTTAAAAGACTTTGGTTCTGGCAATGTTATACCATGAGGATCTGATTTAGACCCGTGCCTTGTACAACCAACTAAAAAACAAATAAACAAACTTGCAAATGGCCAATTGTGACTAGAGCAGAGAGTCCCAGCTGAGAAAGCTTGACATAAACACAGAGCTATAATTTCTCAATTGTTTATCTCCCTCCCCCATAATTCCTGCAGCAGTCAACTCTGCAAACTGCGCGACAGCCGAGCGACCCACGAACATGACACCGAGCTGAACACACATCTACCACCAGCACCGTACCACCGAGTCACTCCCACTCGTCACGGAGACCATATCAACACGTTGAGGCAGTAAAAAAAAGTCATTGTTTGTAAACCTGAAAAACAAAAACGTAAGAAAGTATACCACACACCATCAATGCACAAATACACATCATGTACAGATCTCATCTGACCTCTCGGCGCACTCGCATACCGCACCGCGCGCGCTTCCTGTTTGTGTCCAAAATAAACCAGCGCCTGCCAGCGAAGAACAAGCACTGAACTCAGGAAGAGTTCAAAGTTCAAAGAGGCGCCCTGCATCAGAGCAGCCTTCGCTCACACAGCGGCAACGTCATTTATTGCTACAGTAGGGAGAGAATGAACAGTTAGTGCAGATTTTGATGTTTGCGGCATAAGGAGAAAAGGAAGATGTGTAAAAAGCGATACGGTGGATGAAGTTCTCGGCACCGCTTAGGGCACAGATGTCATGGCTTCTTCCAGATTTACAGCAGCAACGACAGAAAAACCTTTCAACTCTTTGTGATCAACATGGAGCACACCAGATGGTGCCCCGAGGTCAAATTTGTGGCAAATTTCTTTCTATAAAAATTTCCTAAACATATCCTTCACAAGAAAAAAGACTAAACAAAACATTGTTCTCTAGTTTTGTTTGAATTTTAGACCCTGTCCACACATTGCCGGATATCAAGGAAACATTCATTTTGGCCTTTCTCAATCACAAAAACTGTTTAATATCACTAAAGTATCACATTTATATAAACTCAGACCAAAATCTATGTTTAAAAAACCTCCTCCATATTTGTCTTTCCGTGTGTATATGGGTGAAACAGAGACTTAAGAGTCCTGCGTGTTCATGAGTCAACATATCCACATGTTCGCTTTGAGATGATTGCCAATCAACATCGTCTTGTGTTTTAACTTCATATTCTAATACGATTTTGAAAGTAGTTCAACCCACAAAAATGAGCCTCCTGGCGCCATGTTTAATCCCTAACAGGAAGTTGTGGTTGTTTTCAAGCAACCTGATTGGCTGACATTGGTTTTAGCTTCGCCCTACACCGCCCTCTGTGGGCCTGGTATGTTTACAACAACACAGAGAGGCGTATTTATTCCAGCTAATATGGGTGAAAACTTTTCCGGAACAGATTTCATGTGTGCGATTTTTAAAATAATTTGTTTTTATAAAGCTGGAGGAATCCAACAGCCCCAACTTCAGTCACCAAATAAATATAGTAAACATTGCAGCAACAAACTGTTTTTGCATCACATTAAACCCAACCACAAACAGCACTCTTCGATATCGGCTTGTGAATACGTCTCTTTAGTGTACAAGCACATTGAGTGGAGATAATTGCATTATTTACTAATAATAGTTAACAATTCAACAAATTGTGATGTAATTTCCAGATACGCCTTCTGAATTCAAAGACAAACTGGATGCAAAATCTATGCCGAATATGGAATTCTTTTAAATAATACTCAATAAACTGAATTGGCCACTCAGTAACAAAATACGCTTTATATGCTAATTAAAATGCATTATGTTTTAATCAGCATATCCCAACCTGGCAACCCACAGCTTTTGCTTTCTCTGTGAAATTTTTGCACATTTCATCTTACGGAGCTTCAGCAGGAACTTACAACCCTGTGAAAACTTTAAATACTGGAAGAGGAGCAATCGCAGCACCACCGGGAGCTACGACTTTTAGCGGTTTCACTACAACAATTAGTGCAGCATTGTCATAACCGAGGAAAAAAAACGTAGTGGGACAGTCAGTGACAGACTGGTGCATCGCATTGTCACTGGTAAGACTTCAGAAGGAGCTGCTGGTGGCATTAAAGTTCTGCCTCGCAATGAGCTGGCGTGGAACGATTCAGAAAACACAAATAACAAACACACAACACGTTCCTGTACTCTGACATCGACAGCCACACTGCAAAAACAACCGAACTCTTGAAGGTTTTAAATTCATTATGTACGTCGCTCTGTCGTCTGCACGACCATGGAAACATACACATCGTACATTCAAAACACCACTAATGACGTGGTGCTGCTTTCAGGTTCGAAGGACTTCTTGAAGTCAAGCCAATTACGCAAAATAAGTCATTTCGACATGATTTTCTGCTCTCCGTCTGCAGGAGTCGCTCGAAATCCAACGCAGCACATGGCAATATGGGACATCTCGACATAATCCTGGTTTTTGGGTATTTGGGTCGGGGAGGGTGCAGCACATCATAAACTAGGATAAACTTCATGGACAGCACAAGAGTTGAAAGTGCAACGGCGGAAAGTAACAAACAGGCCGGAAAGTTTTAGCTTTGCAGTTATAAGACTAAATTTGAACTGAACTGACATCTCTGAGCTTTGAAAAAAATTGAAACAAAACACAGAGCGGGGGGGAAAAAAAAAACGTGATATTTCTACTGACATCAGTTTTATCCGGAGTAAAACTCATTGTGCAGCAGTTACTGGAAAATTTGCTTGACTTATATGAGCAGATTTATTTTTTTCATCTGAAGTATAATTTCTATCAAAGCATCCCTTGAACGCAGAGATCATAATCAAAACAAGCAGTCATTTTCCAATCTTGAACTCAAATTATCCTCCCAAACAATCTATTTTAGAGGTTTGCTTTCACTTATGAAGGTTTTAGAACTTAAATTAGTGATCATATATAAAGTTAAAAACAAAAAAAAAGGGAAAAAAAACTGAACAACTGAAGAAAAAAGTTGAGAAATCCTAAACAGAGAGCTTTTTCACACCCAATATGGAATGCTGCTGCTGCAGCGCTGTGTGATGGCTTACCAGCGACGATGCAATGCGCTAGTGTGCGTGTGTGTGTGTATGCATGCGGTCATTTGCGATCAAGTCTTTGCTTCACACACACACACACACAAAATTGATCTCCTGCGAGAGGGAAGAGCAGGGAGCGTTAACCGAGCTTGGTGATCTGTAGGTCTCCTTGTATCCGTACTGTGTCGATTGAGGGCAAGGATTTTACTTTGTGATAAAAGTCAAAGAGCTGGTGTCCGTCTACGAATATCCGGAAGCGTTGGTGCTCGCAGTGGATCTCAATCTGCAGGAACGGAAGGAGAAAAAGGAAGCAGATCAAACAAAGGGAAGCAGAAGCAAAAGGCCTAAAACAAAAAAAAAAACAACAAAAAAAAACGGTGCGAGTCTTAATTTGGCAAATGACATTTTCGCCCGAAAATTTCTAGTGAATGTATCATTGCACACTTGAAATAAGACAAAACTAACTTTTAACAACTTTTCACCAAGATACAGGAGCTTGTTTTAAGCAAAGAATGGTATATATATATATATATATATATATATATATATATATATATATATATATATATATATATATATATTATTATTATTTTTTATTTTTTTAAAGTGAGGTTCCACTGGCAGATTATTTATAACTTGGGAAAACTGTCCTGCAAGTGAAAAAAAGATCTACCAGTGGAACTAGTAAAACAAAAGCTGAAATTAGCAAAGCACTAAACATGCTCCTGAAGCCACGACGGAATGGTTTAGATTAAAGCATATTAAGGTTACTGAATGGTCTAGTCAAAGCACAGACTCACATTTGACTTTGAGTGTGTGGCTAGATTTAGGATTTGCCATTCACATACACTCCATCCTGACTAACTTTTGCTTAGAAGAATGGAGATTTTTTTTTTTGTCTCTAAACATGCAGAGATGTCAGAGACATGACCCTCAAACCTTTTTAAGATTTTGCTATTATTATTTAAATTAAAAAAATATGTACAATCTTCCCTTCATTTGACAAAGCTGGGCTGCTTTCTCTTTGTCTTCAGATCTCAGTGAAAATCCATTCGAGAGTTTGTGCTTTCAAAGTGACAAACGAGAAAAAATTGACTTCATGAAATGCCGCTTATTGCACCGGAAAACAATTAATGTGTTAGCCAGAGAGAGATATTGCATCACCTTTTGGCTTTATGGTTTTACAGCAAGTTTTTTAATGAAAGGTTTTACACATTCATCATTCGAAAAGTAATTAAATCATCCTTGTTTCTTGCATTTTTTTTAAAAAAAAAAGGTCATGTTTTTCCACTTGTGCTTCTCCACTTGTTCTTTTTGACCTGAAGCATGGCACAAAGGATGCCTCACGATCACAGCAAGTTCAACTTTTGACCAAATACAGCAATAAACACATAAACCACACTGGTCGGCATCCACCCACTCCTTAGACGAAAGTAAGCTCTCCCTGCCAATAACAGGCCTGTTTCCATAAAGAGATCAGTGGGGCGGGAAAAAAAAAAAAAAAGCCTTTTCACTGTAAAAACCACAGATCATCATGTGTCTGTCCACATGCCTCCACTTTGTTTCGAGCAAACAGCTGTAATCTCCAGGCTCCAGCTCCTGACACCCACCGCAAGCAACGATCGCTTTGTCACAGAGTCGGCAGCGAGAAGCAGGAAGGACGCCTAGACGCAACACATATTAACGCGGACGCCCGGGATAACTTTAAACTCAAACTATTTCTGGCTGATCGTGATTCATAATTTATTAGAGCGGAATGTGAGTGAGCATCTGGGCCCCTCGTGTCCAGCAGTGATGAGTCGCAGCCGTTCAACCCGAAGCGCCCCCAGCACTGACTTCATCCTATATGTGAGCAGCTGATGCTGTTTTTGTAAACACACCACTACACATTTTCACACACGCAGGCTGCGTTAACATTAGACACACGTGATGGCGCACAGGGTTTCTGCCCTTTGTTTCGGTTTTAGTGCTGAGAGGAATGAAGAGGTGCCGATTGGAGATCTTCCAGATGATTTTTGATCACTGATTTTGGTAGGTAATCAACAGAAATGACCAATTTTATCCGATACCAATCGGAATGTTTCTACCGTTCTTAGCCAACAAAAGTCTCTGTTTACTCAAATGTAGAGTCGGGAGGAGATCGTGGCCTTAACTGTGAGGTTCCCAAAACATCGTCAACATTTATTTTTTTACCCAGTTTGCTGACAAAGACAACTGGATTCTTCAAAAGTAGAAGAAACCTAGCAACTTTACTTTAGTAGATTCCACTTCCTGTTACCTTCTGTTGCCTAATGGGCTTGACAGGATGGTGATGTCGACCTGTCTCCATTCCTTCCCTACGTGATTTGCATGATATTAGGCGCTTCCCCTCTTCCAGCTGAGCAACCAGTTCAGTTGTTTTCAATTTTAAAATCCATCTTCCTTCCAGGAAGCTTTCAACAGCCTTCATGTTTTCTCATGTTTTTAAACACTTCACTGATACAGAAAGGGTCTTCTTTCCACTTCCACACTGAAGAGTGTTTTTTGAACTACTGTTAATGTTTATGTTTATTTTTTTTATAAAAGTCAAGGCATGTCAAATGTAAATTGTTCAATTTGAGTCTTTCGGAGCCAAAAAAGGAACTTTTGTCATTTTGTGTCATCAGCACATAAACTCCCTAAATTCTGTCTCGGTCTTTGGTTCTGGTGTTCAATTCCCTGACCTCCAAGTTTGGGAAACTCCTGGAAGATCTCTGGGACTACCTCTTCTTATGCCGAGATACTAACAGCGAAGAAGCTCTTACCCTAAAAGGCTGGTCAGGGATGAAAGGGAAGTAGGCGGTGGAAGCTTCCTCATCTGTCCATTTCCCTGAGACGCGGGCGCGCCGCAGAAACTGCCGGTTGCTGAAGCTAGCGGTGAGTTTCAGGGCCACGTCGAACGACGGGTCATCCTTTTCCAAATCCCGTCCGCAGGTCAGGCTGACGTCGAAGCTGAGGAGACAATATAACATGTTGGAGTCAGACAGTAGATCCAAAAATGGACTATTATGTTGGCACCTCTGGTAAAGAGCCTTGAAATGTATTTAGCTTTTAATCTTCCCAGGTTATCCAACGTCTTCCCTTACGCTCCCCATTTTAGGAAATGGCTCTAGGTGTCGCATCATATTTATTCCCCGTGAAGACATGCTAAACGATTACTTAACATATGTTTCTCACACTGAACCACTTCAATAAAAGATGTGTTCATTTCTAGGCTTTTTAACTCATCTTCACCATTGGGGGCAATAAACATGTCCACGTCCGCAACTAATCTGGGATGAGACATATGAATAATTCTGCTGTTGCTGTCGAAGAGCAAACTGTGAGCGTGTGTGTTAATTATGCATAATCCCTCACGCTACGGTTTCTGTTTCTCCTCCCTCCCCTGCAGCTGTGCAGTTCATACGTTCTCAAGCATCTCATCCTTGCTGCAAACTTTCCAAGACGCATCGAAAAAATAAAAAGAAGAAGAAGAAAGCAAAACAAACAGCTTGTTGGAGCAGCTCTTATTTTTCACATGAACTTTGGACTCTGAATTCTCTGCCAGCAGCAGGAAAGATGAGGTCATGGAGAGGATTTTTTTCCCCCCCCTCATCAAATTCAACACAAGACTCCATGAAGGGTAAAAGACACACCCAAACAAAATCTGACTCACTGGGGTTTTATTCCTCATATTTTCCCCTACACCCCCCTCGCTCCCCTCTTTTCTGTTCTTCCTGCTGGTGAGGAAACGCCCTATCTCTGCATATTTAAAGCTCCACTGCCCTCATGAACTGAATGTGCAAGTTTGACAAAGTGGAGGGGAGAAAAGAAAAAGAAGGAAAAAAAAAACATTTTATCTTAGATACCAATCAGATTTGTATTCAGAGCGTTGCAGACGTGCAGGGTAGGACTGAGGCCTTATCTCACCTGTGTGGCTCCAGGTCGATGATCCCCATCACTATGATCTTCTTCCCCGGTCGCATTCCGCCGCGGATGCGCCCGCTGAAAGGCACCGTCTGCGCACAACACCACCACACCCACCCAAACAAATACACAAATCAAACACTGGGGTACGACGGTACACTCTTCAAAGCCCGATTCAAACAAAGGTGCTGGGGGTTGTGCGGAGGGACTTCTTACCAAAAGACGGGATAAATCCTCCTTGTCGGGTGAGATCAGACCGGGGTTCTCCGGCGAGTCGTTCAGCGTGTGATCCCCGTCCATGTTCTTGAAAAGGACACCAGAACACAAATCAGGAGCCGATACGCAAGCAGGGGCCGAGGGTCAGAGACCCACCGAGAGGCTGCGGGCCTGCGCGTGATCAATAATTGATGATTGCCGCGGGACCCTCGCTGCGCGACGCGGTTCGCAACACAATGACGATCCGGCAGGTTTTGGAGGAGCTGATGGCGTGTTGAGCACCGCGCGGCGCGGGGTGAAGGGATGCCGCTACGACCGGGATGGATCTCCTCATCTCCTCCCCCCTCCTGTGGCCCCACGCAGGGGATGATGGTTGGATGAAAGAGGAGACACCCCCACCACCACCTCACCTCCACCCACCCTCCTCTAGTTTTTTTTTTTTTTTTTTTTTTTTGCACTCTGGTCCACGTTTACAGCACTTCCACGTCCAGATAACGATGCGCATTACCAAGCAATCCCTACCGAACGCTCAAATGAAAGCAATCCCCCCAACCCCCGGTCCCACTCTTTCCACCTACGGTTCCTATCGCCCGGTGTGGCTTTGGGAATACTCACTATTCCGTCCTTTTCTGCTGCCTGCACCGCCATCTTGAGCCGAAAAGCACAGGATGCGAGCGTGGGGAGGGAAGGAGGGAGGGAGCGGAGTGGCGCGTCTTGCCTCGGGAGGATTTCCCAGTTCCTGCGTCCCCCGACGTCGGTCGGCTCCAGGCCTCGCCTCAGACACACGCACACGCACACACACACACGCGCGCGGCGGAGAGAGGAGAGAAAGAGCACCGAGCAGGACATCCACACTGCCCGCCTCCGCTTTTTACTGTCGGCTCCTGAAAAGGGAGGATAAATGTGCTGACGAATGCTTTATAATAATTAGAGGCCGACAGCTTTAATCCCCGTCTGTCGGAGAGAGCTAATCATCGGACAGATCTTCAGCCGATTAGGCCGACGCGCTCTTTGGGTTTGTTTTCGGCGCTGTCAGCAGGCTGGAGGAGGTTGGAGGAGTAAAAAGTCTGAACGTGATACAAAGTGGGGAGCTTTTAAAGTAAACTTTTAGACGCATCAGAGGGCAATGAGCTGCACAAAATACAACCAAAAATTGCGCAAATGCATATGCGCACATAAAAAAAAAATCCTGCTAAATTAAGTTAATTGATTTTTAAGATTTTTTTTTTTTTGCCCTCTCGGGTTTGACCAATAAAACACGCTCCAGTTTCTCTCGCCTGTCTGCTTTGGGTTAATTGAGCCACTCTGCCCCCGCGTGGACATTTAGAGACGTTACAACAATACAAACTAAAAAACGCAAGCGTATAGGCTACTTCATTGGGAAATAAATAAATAAATATTGTGTCTAATTTAAATCTGTCAAGATTGGTTAAAGGGTTATTGTGACAGGACTTCTTGTAGCAGTCTGCTTCACAGCAAAATAGAAGAGGCCTCTGACTGAAGATAATGTTTTTCTGTGACAGTCTCGTGAAGAGGACGCTCAGAGTTGGCCATCATTTTCTTGATTCTTTGTAAAAAAAAAAATAATAGCCTAATAATAATAATAACAAGATGAAGAAGAAGATGTAGAAGGTAAAATTATCCCCCAATTAATGTATTAAAAATTCAAAGATTATCACACAACTGGCAACTGAAATATTCATTTTAATAAAAAAAAAAAAAAATTGGAGCATACTGAACAGTCACGTCCAGCTACTTCTACAACAAACCTACACTAACTGCAGTGAAACAGAACAATTAATGGTTGTAAAAAAAAAAAAAAATTGAACACATCTGTTTAATTAAAATTTTTGCTTCGCTTTCATTTTGTGCACAGCCATCATTATCTGCTAAACGAGTTTGCAGCAACTTTTAATTTCCCGTCGGCCTAAACAAAGTACATTTGAATTGAACTGAATAACTGAAAGGTTAACGAGGATAGCAGTGAAAGACAAATACAACACGTGTTATGATAAAATGTGCTCGTGAATAAATCGCAGACCTGACGGGTGGGCTGACTGTTACTGGTTGCCATAGTGACCGCAAAGTCAAGCCCGGCATAGGATGAATTAAACTGCAATGAATGCTGGGAGAAAATGACTTGTTGACTAAATAAAATGTACTGAAAGAACACATTTTAAAAAAAAAAAAGAAAAATGTAAAAATTGTACTTAATTTTAAGAAGTGCTTCAAGAAGGAACAGTTGGTTATGAATGTTTTAACAGTCTCTTAATGGGTTTTATTTATCGATCCCTTCTGACACGACCAGACCTTTGGGAACATTCATGACCCAAAGGAGGCCCAAACAAACCTGGACTTTGACACACCTGTTGTGCGACGATGTCAAGCTGTCGCCACTGGCTCTTTGCTTCTGTTGAACACTCAGCAAGTGTGCAAATCCACAAATATTAAATAACATTACCATCAAATACGTAGCAGTATGTTCCCACCCATGTAAAATTTTCAAAAAAAGAACATGCACGAGTGCACATGAAGAGGCCTTAGCAGCTGAAGTGAAAGCGATGTGCCGACGGAGGAGTGTGTGCGTCCGGAGAGGAACGAAGCGTGGGCATGGCAGCCTTCGAGCCTGATAACACGGCTCAGAAGTTTTTGTTTAGTTTTTTTTCTGTCTGCTCTGTGCAGGCTCAAGTCCCAGAGCTGCTGACTCTGAACCTTGGACAGACACTTCTGTATAAAAGTTGATTGTGCTCCGTATGTGTTTTTGCTCCGTGCAGAACCTAAAAAGCTAGATTTTGCTCTTATCTGGATGAAACAACCCAATCTTTGTTGTATGACTTGACTTCAGCTTATTCCTGACATGTCACTACTGTCCTCTAACTAACCTTTGAAGCCTTCACAGAAACAGCTGGATCTAGATGAACTTGGCCGCACTTTCATTCACAAGAATCGGCATTAAGGGGGAAATGCATGCCACACTTTTCAGATTTGATTAGTAAAGCATTTTGTTCACCTCAACATCAAAATTACGTCCTACTTTTGTTGCTGCATCGAGAAAAAAAAAATCCAATAAAATACCTAGAGGGAGAGCCACTGATTGTTGCTAGGAAACAGTAAAAAAACAACAAAAAAACAACATTGATCATGTGACCAAATAGTTAGGGAGAAGGCATTATTTAATGAAATTTGTAAAGGTAAGAACCATGGGTAACATTGTTAGGCTTTTATTTCTTAAAAGACACATTTCAATCTTGAAGGTGAATTTAAAATAAAATATAAGTTTAGACCATAACATATTTTCAAATTGGTTCCATGTATCAGTGATGCTTTGTGAAACGGAGATAGAAGTGTAGCATTTGTGGGCACAAACGAAGTGGAGCTGGTTTCCTTGCTGCGGGGTCAGCTCAGTTTGACCCCCCCGGTCTCCCGTAGAAAATGTTCGGGTCAGACGGGAATTCTTTTTTTTTTTATTTTACCGTCATGCTCTCTTCTATGGCAACTCTGTTGCAGAAATATGCACTGTGTGATCATTTGTGGGTGAAAATAACAATTATGTTCCAGTTGTTAGAAAGCAGTTGGAGCCTCTCCTTGCTGTCGCCCCTCCGTGGCGCTCTCTGCTGCACAGATCCAGTCTCCTGACCGGTGTTCAGCTCCCTCCTCCTCCTCTTCCTCCTCCTCCTCCTCGCTGCGGCTGCCATGGCTGCGGAGGCTTCCGGCCGGAAAGATGCGACCATCACCGGCCCAGCATACTCCACCGAGATGCGGGAGCAGCTGGTAAGTTGCTTTTGATTAAAAATAATAACAATTTAAAAAAAATGCATAAAGAAAAATTGCTTGCGGTGCGCAGCGAGGCGCTACTCCTTCCATAGAGCGGGCCTTGATGCGCCGCTGCACCGGGATGGAGTTCAACTCCGCTGGATGCGCGCAACCAGAAGCAGCCGTGTCATGGTTTTGGGGTTTTCTCTCATGCGATGACGAAGTTTATGTGTCAAATATTTATGGATAGGTCAATGCGCAAAGGGAGAAAGGATGCGAATTATCGCAGGTGGTGTTGGATGGAGGCGGGGGTGGGGGAGACATCGGTGGCTCACATCCTGCGTGACGCGCTGATGTGTCAGGAGAAGTGAAAGTGGAGGGTCGGCCCGAAGCGTAGCTCATAAATACTCGGTGATTGGCCGGCCTCTGAGCTGTCGGTTCTCTTTTACTGGCCGCGGCTTTCCGCTTTTTAGAGTCTACGCAGGAGAGCTGGTTTTCTTTCACCCGGCGGTGACGCAAGTCCCAAACGACTTGGCAGGAGAGGTAGGAATTCTTCCTGATCGCCCCAGCGGGGCGAGCGGTGGATGAGAGCAGACCCGTTGGGTTCACTTGGGTCAGTATCAGAGGGAGGAATGGGTTCTCACAGTGCAGGGAACCGGTGCAGTGTTTCCATTAATTACAACCCGCCTTCTGATTGGAGCAAAGGCATCTGGATTCGGATCAAAGTCGGAAATTAGGAGCTAAAAAAAAGTCATCTTCATCATTATTATTTTGATTATTATTTTCAAATCGGTGAATTGGAAGACAGCTGCTGAACGATGAAGAGCAAAACGTGTTCTTGTATTTGTTACTTTGTAAGGACCGTTCACCTTATATGCACCAAGCTGTGGGGACCTATTGATCCTTATGGGACACAAAGCATGGACCCCATAAAATGAAGCCTTGTTTTTTGGTGAAGGGTTAGATTTAGCTCTGTGTGTGTGCACGTGTGTGCTATTATAACTGAGTATTTATTAAAGAAGGAAGCATGCCTTTCTCCACCTGCTGGCTCGTGACCAAAAACCTGTTCTTCTGCTTAGTTGAGATGTTTGTGTCAACTGATGTTCACATGCTCCTAATTGAATGCCTTCAGAGTGAGATCTCAGTTAGGAGTCAGTTGCTCTGCCGCCTCTGGATCGTTCACTTTCTACCCACGTCTTCTGTACTGGGTGAGTCTTATTGCTGGAATTCTCCATCTAATCTTCATCAGCAGTGCAATGTCAACATTTCTTATACAGTTTAGTTTCTACATATGTATACAAATGTAGGGTTCCTCTCAAGCAGAACAGAGATATTTTAAGAGTGAAATATTTAGGCTACAGTGGCAAAGACCAAGCAAATGCTCCAGATTATGCAGTGCAATCCCTCTAATCTCCCTGCTGGAAAATGAGAAATTCTGGATTAAAGGAGGAAGTTAGTTGGGGGGAAGCCGCAAAAGAAATGCTGTGATTACAGCTTACTGGGTTCCTGGTTGTTTTTGGAACCTCATAATTTGTGTCCTGATGGCTGGAAGGCGGTGATGCAAGCATATTGCGAGGAATCTCTGAGAACGTTCCTGAAGATGCTTTGCGACGTGATGCTTCTTTGGTGCTTTTCAGGTTAAGGGGCAACATAGTTTGGGTTCCTGCCTGCAAATTCTGAAAGATTGGACCTGGATCTCACCCTAAGTGGTTTGGTGAGTGCGTCTGGAAGTAGAGGTCAAACAAACAAAGTTTGTTTTTTTCCAGCAGATTGCATCAGGGCACTTTGGATAGAACAGCTTCTGTAGGAATGAAACTCAAAGAAGGTCTCTGAGTGTCGTGCACCACTTGAATCCATTCTTCTTTTTTCCATTCGGCAGTGAAAGTTCATACGTTTAAAGCACATTATTTCAGTCAAAGATTTGTCCGAGAGCATGAATAAAACTTTTAAAATATTGATGGAGGATAAATTATGTGATTAACAATGAATAAACTGTGAATTTTAATACAAGTATATTCTGTGAATACACTTGTGTAAAGGTTAGACATGCCTGTGCAGCAAAACAGAAACTGCACCAAAAACAAGGCACTGGTTGCTGCATTTATAGTATTAAACTCTGGGATGTATTAATTTTCTAAGTGATCTAAATGTTCCACTAGGTTTTGCATTCTTAGCAAATAAAATGATGAATAAATCTCTGGGAAAAGAAAAGGTTCCAGAAACAGATGGCTTGTTCGCCTTCAGACACCTGATTGACCAGACTGAGGAAACTGAAGAACGGAAACTTACAAATTACAGCCTTCATTTTGCCCCATCCAGGCCAATTCACCACATATGGGAAAGTTTATTCCTTTAGATACAACTCGGATCTGAGCAATCCTGTCTGTATTAGACAAATGACCATGCTGACCTTATTGCAGTGTTCCAAAACACAACTCATCTCCGACACTTTTTTAGTACATATTGTAACCACAGAAGAAGTCCAAACAGACTTTTGACTGAGTGCAGACTGCAAAAACTCTGATCAGACTGCTACCTCAATTCAGCTGATATAAAAAAATTTGATGCCTCTTTGTTTAAATGTCTTATTTTTCTGATGATTTCCCAACCTGACTATGGATTTGCCAATTTAAAAACTGTCTTTCGACAAACTTCAATCTGAACTTCTACAGGAATCTAATGAAAATAAGGACAGGCTTGATTACAGAGTACAAAATGATTGGTGAAAACTTCTTTGTCTGTGCCTTTGATAGTACAACAGTCATGAATCTGCGTCTAGAAGACAATGCAGAGTGAACTCAGTGGTCTCTGGGTGTCATAAGGTCACCAACCTATCAATCATTTCCTTTTGACACAGTTAATGGAGCTATTCAAGCCGCCAAACAAACCTAACATGCTGGTTTGTTGCTCTTTACTTCATAATAATTGATGGAAAATAAGCTTGAAGGAGTTTCTCAAAATTAATGATTTCAGTATTGAGCCTCTTTGTGAAACAACAAATTAGCTTTTTTTTTAAGCAGCAGCAAAACACTTTTATAAATATTTGCCAAGATAGACAAAGATGCATGTTGTAACTTGAGAAACGAGTGGGCATTTCCACAAAATAAATTTGTTGTGTGCAGAAATGTTTTTGCTTTTTCATACGAAGCCCCAATGAACTGATTTACATTTGGCAAACAATGTTCCTGGAACCAAAATATGCCAAAAGGTAAGTAGAAAATGTGCTCCTGTGGCATTTCTTTCTCCGTCTTAAACGTAAGATTTGTAAACATGCTCACAATGACAAACATGAAGAAATTCAAGGAATGCTGGTGGACAGTGGGGAGATTTTATATATTCTCTCTTAGCAATGGACTTTCACAAAGCCAGGACAGCAGCTCAAACAACAACAAAAAATGAAACCTCGTGTATGTTTTGGGTAGTTTCATTAGTCATAAGTATTGTGTTTATAACCAGGTATAAACACAATATACATGGGTATATTTTGTTTTTGACATTATTGTAAGAAAAAGAATAACTCCAGTTTTTTTTTTAGAAACTCAATTATTTAACCAAGAATTTGCTATTATAAATCTTATCTATATAGTAGATTGCATCTGCCGTGGAAAATGCCAGGAATGTGTTGCTCTAAATTGGTTGCAGTCTTTAAAAAATGTGCAAAGGTTTGCTGAATTCAGGTATTTTGCAGAGATAAAGCACAGATTGTAAGGTGCAAATATTTGATGTGGAGCTGAGTAAAGGACAAGTGATCCGTAGTATGAACTTTCACTGATGTCCTTTAATAAACTGTCCGCTCTCTTCCAGATGACAGAGGGAAACATGAAAAACGATGCGGACGTGTCTCTGCCTGCTGCACCGGACAACTTTGCAATCCTGTGCCGAGATGTATGCCGGTCGTACGGAAAGCTAAAGGTCCTGTCCAACCTTAACCTGTCCGTACCACAGGGACAGATGTGAGTAATGTTACGCTTGAGGGAATTTTCACACCTGACCGTCCATCAGACTCGGTTCGATTGGGAACCAACATTACAATATTTGTTACATTTTTAGTTGGAAAGGTTTGCTTTCATTCTGTACTGTGTCAGACAAACTGAATCCTTTGAAAAACTTGTTTACTCCCCTGCCTGTGATGGCACTGCACTAAGAACCAATGAAGAAAACACTTTCTTCATGAAATGTAAACAAAATGGAGTGGTGTGAGAAATTAGCAGTTGTAGGTTTTTTCTTTTGTCTTTGGTAAAACACCATGAGTAATTTTTCCCACTATCTAGATTTGCTAGAGTTCACTTCAGTCGAACTGAAACTTTGGTTTCAGATCTCTGGTCCATATCAGAGTTTGATTGCTACAAGGCGTTCCTCCTTGTAGCACTGGCAGTCATTAAGTCAGGGATTTGTACTCTTCCTGGTCATCCAAGCTTTGCTCACCATGCAAATGATGTTTGCATTCTCGAGAGAGCTGCTGGCAGGCCGCTCGCCCTCTCCTTTTGTCATTCATTTGACTAATCAGTCGCCAAACTCGTGATCTTCCTGCTTAGAAATCAGGGTACCGCCGGTACATACCTCTTGGCTGGTTTTTGTGAAGAGGAAAATTCCATCTCTCCTAAGTCCTAATGGAGTTAGAGATGAGATAGCAAAGAAAACATGCTGTTCTGTGACACTGCGGCCTTCAACGTCTTGGAATATTAGCTTCTGGTTTCTGTCTTTTGTCCACTGTCGCCGCTGTTTGTCTTTGTCATTTCTGAGCCCAGTCATAGAGGATTTACATGTGACTTTTTTCAATATTGACCTAAATTCTTTGAATGACAAAAGTACAGTTCACTCGGAAATATGTTCAGGTTCAGATTACAGGTCACTCTTGTACTGATTCTGCAAAGAAAAGAATACCATGTCAACAAGGGTTCTTATCTATCTGCCTCAAACATGCACAAAATAATGATTCAAATTCACTGTGCAGAATCTTATAAGTTAAGTGCCTTGCAAACATTGCAAGACGTCTTCAGACTGTGTTAAATCATTTAGCACAATAATCACATCTTGCACCGTACCTCGCTTGTTTGCTGCAAAGAGAAAAACCATAAAGGCTGCACTATATGCTGCTTAAATCACAGTTCACTGAAAATAACATATCATCATCATGACATGGTGTTTCTCAAAATGATTACGTAACATTCAAAGAGTCGCAACAGTCATTAAAATATTTCATGTATGCTTGAAAGCCAATTCACTAGGAGAACAGGCAGCTTTGTTCTCCCTCCCAGGGAAGCAAGAAAAGAATGACATTATTTTGTTCTTGCAATCCTGGCTTGAGGGGTTCTTACAAGTTTTCCTGGACACATATTCTATTGAGAACCTTTTGTCTCGCAGTGCCCAGCTATCACAATCAAACACCGCAGTGAGAGGGAGCTATGAGGAACCCAGAGTTTTGCACTTTAGTTTATTAGGACTTGTTCTTGTTCTAGCCAGGGTAAAAGAACACATTTGTCTGTATGTGTACGGTATTGATATTAAGAATATGCAAAGTATGCCGTGACAGCATGTCTTGATTTAGTATAGAATGATAAAAATCAAACTTTCAATCTTCAAACCTGACAACTTTTGTTTTCCGCTTTAATTATTGTGTAAAAAAACCAGAAACCGTGTTATTATTAACTTGTTTATGGTGATAATATTTTCATCCTTGTGGTTGTTAAAACAGCATGAAAAATTCTAAGAGCTCAGATTTTCTTCTTAGAGTAGCATCAAATGTAATTACAGCTAAAATTAGGGAAATAGACCCTTTCTTTAAAAACAGGCCCAGGAAGTCCAAACTGCTTGTGCATCTTGTCATAAACATGTTTTTAAGACTTAGAAACTTTAATGGATCTAAAAATTAAAACAGTTTTTACTTTTAAAAAATTAAGACTCTCATTGGATTATGTTTTACTGTAAAAATAGATAAATTAATACTTTTTATTCTAAGCTAAATTATTCACAGCCCTGAATAATTTCCATAAATTTTATTTCAAGTTATCTTTCTCAGAGTGTCATATTCTTTTCAATAAAAATAAATCTACAATACGCGGTCCATTTTTACTTATAAATATTTAAATATTGTCTAATCATAATGACATTTTACAAGGGTTTACATGTCATTTTCTCCATTTAGCTTGGCTGAGTTATCCTTGCATCTCTACTCTTATAGTTAAGCTAAATAAGCAAAAATTGTGATATAACTATGATAGACTAGTAAACAATAAGAAAATAGAATTTTTACTAAAAATTCAAGTGACTTATGGCACAACAACAGTTATACATTTTTTGCTAAATGCTTCAAAACAAGGAATAATTTTGCCTCTTCACCAAGGTATTCAGGTTTAGTTATTCATATAACTAAACAAAACGTTGTGTTTCCATGCACTCTAACCAAGACCTATTTGATTATTTTCATTGTTGTTAAGTTTTTTCCGTATTTATGTAGATGGATAAAATAATAATTTTCAGCGTTTTAGCAAACACAGAAAATATTCAGAAGCTGAGAATCTGCACTGAAAACTCAGACACCAAGCAAAATTTATACCTGACGTGGCCCCTTAGGTTCATGATTATGTCTCACCCAAAGCCTTTAGTTTCTCTAACATGATCATCTTCAACGCAGCTTGCATCCTGACCTGGTAAGCCAAGTGACATGTGTGCAACAGAAATTGTTACAGAATGTGCTAGTAGTAGATGTTTTTTTTTTACCTTGTTTGTCGTAAAAATCTTCTTCAGTTTTACGCTCATGCGTGAATTGCTCATGATTTTGTTTTGCAGTTATGGCCTTCTGGGTCCCAGCGGATGTGGAAAAACGACACTGTTAAAATGTATCGTAGGAACGCTGAAAATATCAAGAGGACACATCACTGTGTTAGGGAAGCCGCCTGGATTTCCTGGACACGAGGTCCCAGGGAAGATGGTTGGATACATGCCACAGGTACACTGCAATACTCAGCTCCCTTACAGTCATTTACTCAAAGTTCTTGAATGTTTTGAAAAACAAACACATTAACTCAAAAAAAAAAAAAAAAAAACTATGGAAAAATCTTAGGACAAGGTTTTGATTTTGAGCTTGTTAAAAATCCACATATTCCTCACATAACAGTTTCATAAGTGAAGGAGTGTGGAAGATTTCAGGTCAGTTTTTATGTCAGTGTTTTTTACAGAAAACTCTGGACCCAGCTTTTATGTCAGTGAGCTGCTCTTTATGACCAAAAATCCCTGCCTCGCTACAGGCCTTTAGAAACTGTGCTGCTAGGCTATGTGAACCTGCATTGTGAACTCGTTACTGTCAAACTAGAGTTCAGATCCGGGCAGCTGCATGCTATCTGTCTTCACGTTACCTTAAGCGTCCTGTTCATCCACACAGTGTGACCCATATAGAAAGAAATAACTGACATGTGACAATGTGGCATTATGTTACTTTTCTTTGATGCCTAGATGTTTTTCTCTTACAACTCAACAAGCGATGTCACCAATAAATGGTAAATTCATGTGTTCTTAAAAGAATCATGCAACATCATGTGGAAAGACTGAAATCCTAAGACGTCCGCTGAGGGTTTCATTGCTTCTAGTGTAGAAAAACACACAAACGAGTTACAACATGGGTATGTTTGTGTTGCGCAGGACCTGGCGCTGTACAACGAGTTCACCATTAGCGACACCTTGACTTTCTTCGGACGAATCCATGGCCTGACATCGAAGGAAACCCAAACACGCATGAACTTCCTCATTGACTTCCTGCATCTACCTCAGAAAAACAGCCTGGTCCGAAATCTCAGGTAAAACTCATTTACCACTTTACAGGCACTTTGCATTTAGTAACGACTAAATCTTGCACCTGGTCGAGGCTAAAAGCAGTTTATCGTACGATACAGCCGGTTAATAATGTGCTGTGGACTTTGAACCTCGAATGATCTGTATTAGTGCGGACAAACATGATATCTTCTCTTGAGAGGCTGTAAAGCAACAAAGCGGTCAGAGCTTGTCTGATAAGCCCACGGGGGAAAGTTAAATTATGCTGCCTCTTTATGACTATCATGTTCGCAGCAGTGTTGACAGAACTGAAATCCCTTGTTAGGCTTACTATTACTTAAACTCGGTGAAACTATATTTCATTAAGTTTCACTTTTTTACGTTGTTGTGTTCTATATTAGCTCTACCACAGTTCTGATGCTAAAAAAGTTCTCTTGTTTCTCTTTAATTTGGTGTAAAAATTCGCTTCAGTGTCCTCTGGTATTATATGTTGAAAAGATGAAGGGACAAAGCTTCATTTGGAAAAAAAAAAGATATATTCAAATATATATATATATATATATATAGTTTCAGCTTGTGTTTTCTGATCTCTCTGCAACTCTACCTTACTTAGTAGTGAAGTCTTATTATGCGGGTGTGAATGCTGTGGCCTAATATGGAAAATTCCATAATACGCGCCTCACTAAAGATATGAATGGCATGCACAAACAGGCACCATATGTGGCCATTACCATGGTGTTTTGTGCGTTTAGTTATTTTATTATGTCATATATGTTTAAAATGCAATGTTAGATGTATTTGCTGACTTGTGATTTGCTAAATATTAGATATAAAGAGCTTGTTTTTTGATGATGTCACCCCTGTGGTTAGCTGTTGTTTACCATAGTCCCACCAGGCAGGTTTGTCTTGACCGCTTTGTTCTGGAAGCTTCCAGCTCCCACCTTTTCACCTTCCTCTGGATCGAGCGGCATGCATGAGATCAACCGGCGACACTGGCGAAGGATCTTCCTGTGTGTTTTTGTCTCACGTTTTGTCCCTGTGTGTCACAGCGGGGGTCAGAGGCGGAGGGTGTCTCTCGGAGCTGCCTTGCTGCAGAATCCTGAGCTGCTCATCTTGGATGAACCAACGGTCGGAGTGGACCCCGTGCTTAGAGCCAAGTATGTAGCCGCCTGTCTGTTCTCTGTGAGTCATGCAGCAGGTCTGCAGACTGCGCTTCACAATCAGTTCAAAGCTAAAAGTTTTGTATAATTCCGCGTCTTTATCTATGCATGTAAATATCTGGTTTGAACTGGATTTGTATTTTAGTTGGATTTTACTTTTTTTTTTTACAAAAAGTAATACTGATAGTTTCTGTTTAGATTGTTGTCTTTCTAAACAAATGTCTCTTTTTTATGTGTTTAACAGGCTTTTATCTATATCTTTTTTTTCTTTCTGGTGATAAGTTTAATTTCAGCACAGACGATCGGATAAATAGTTTTCGACATGACGATGAATATAATCTCAGTTCCAGAAGCTTGAGATTAGATGAGCAAGAAAGTATTTACATTAAACTGTACTATCAACTTTATCAGCTGGAAAATGTTTCTTTGGAACCATGCCGTCTCATAAATCAATAATCAAAACCTCATGTTAAATCCTTTTATACCACAATATCATTTGTTGCTGATTGCTCTAGTCATCAACTTAAGTTTATTGCCGTAGCTTTTGTTTTTTTTTTCCGAACTGCTTTATGTTATCTGCAGAACATCAGTAAGATATTCTCTCAGTATGATAACGTTGAGCATCTATAAGAATCTATAAGTAATCTGTCAGATGATCTGGTACATTTTTCATAGATATTAAGGAATTATTGACTTAAAACAAGCTCCATCATCTTGCTCAAAATTTGTCTTATTTCCAGTGTAGTAAAATATTTGCAGTATAAACTAGATAAAAACAAAAACATGGCAAGATTTTGAGTTTTTGCAGTGTGAAGGTTGTGTCCACCCTGGACAGATCTATAAAAACATGACGAATAAAGAGTTAGTTTCCATTTATTTGTTGAATATGAATACTTAAATTACATGCCTAAAGCACCTTATTATGTAATTATGATCAGCCACAAATACACCATATTTTATTATTCAGTATTTTCAGCATTGATGGATTAGTTTTAGGATTAGTTGATTCGTCTGAAGCCACTTTTTATGATGGTTTGAAGTTCAGTTTATCTTTCCAAAAGATAATCAGCACAGATTATATCACCTTCACACCAACAGGGCCGGTTCATGCCTAGCACTCTGCTAACCTGCTGATAGTAATGTTGCACTGGCAGAAGGGTGAAAAGTTTCACCAGTTAAGGTCAACACGAGCGGTTTAGATTATTCCTGAGAAAGGCGGACATGTTTTTTTTTCTTTTGTAATCCAGCCCCGCTGGGTGTTGCTGTGGTGTTGTTGCATAATGACACGGTCTGGCCGGTAAAACATGTGAGCCGCGAGTTCAGGAAAACTCCGTTCATGCACAAGTCAGGAGTCATGTGACATGTTGTGTTTTTTTTTTTTTTTTTCATCTTTGGTTCTAGGATCTGGCAACATCTGGTGGAGATTGTGAAGACGGGGAAAGTCTCTGTCATCATTACTACGCATTATATAGAGGAGGCCAGGCAAGCCAACGTGGTAAGCAGATATGAACAAGCGCGCATGTGTACACACTGCGACAAAACGAACAGACGGATGCAGCCGAGCCAGGCATGAGAGAGAACTATCAGAACGTCTACAGATCAAAACAGAATAATGAGTCTGGAGATGAATTGTAGTTTTTATTAGTTTTGACAGCAGGATCATGAGTTCAAGTTCGGCAAGGGGACGGTGGGATGGGGACGCACAAAGGCTCACTTGTGTGTTTATTTACATCTTCTGCTCTGGTTGGCAGATTTCATGCGGTGTAGATCGCTGCCATAATTAATAACGGCTTTAAGCGAGTTTAAACGTGCTGCAAAACGGCAGTGGCTTGTTATTTTTAAACGTTAACCAGCCCTTATACTTGTTGTCACCGATGATAAAGAGTTGAAGTTCATACCAGGTAGATCCGCCTCAGCTGGAGGACACTGGGGACAAACATTGGGTTTTCCAAATAGGATGAAAAGGAACAAAGTAAGGAATTAAAATGCACAGCGAATGCTCAACATAGGTCACAGTTTGGTGACGGATCTTTGCTCAAATTGACTTAAAAAACATTTCTTGAGTTTTGTAAAACTTAAAGTTGAAAATAGAGGACATAAGAATGATCACATTTGCATGAAAAGGATGTTAGGAAATCAAGAAGCCCTTTGCCTTCATATTAACGTCGAGTCGCTTTCTCAGAAACCTGACTGCAGGTTCACCAGAAATCCAATAATTCTTTGAGTTCATGTACCATTTTATAAGTAATCTCCTTTACAAAATCCAAGAAGTTAAATTGCAAGTGAATGTTTGCAATGCAGATTAGCTTTCCTGTAATCCAACCAAAGCTATGTGGTGTAGATTAGTGTATGGAGAGAGCAGGTTCAGCTGAGCTAATTGACGACGACGATTTCGTTCACCATATCTGCCATATTTTGATCAGAGTGGATTTTCAAGTTCTGAAAGAAAACCTTGTAGCATTTCTTATTGGTGGTCTATCACATAAAACATGCGGAGGTTTGTGGATTAATGTGATAAAACACGGCAGCGTTCAAAAGGAATTCAGACTATCGGAAAACACCGTAAGCTTGAATAATACAAGTTGTCCGCCCAACAGTCACAAAAACTAAATACATAAAATCTGTCATCACATCGAAATGCTTTGTTTTTTTAAGTTCAACTTGCTCCTTTATCTGCTTGCACTGTTTCCTGTCATTAGAGCAGGTCTAGTTGAAATCCCAAGTCTCTCTGTTGTAGTTCTACCTGTTTTTTCCTCACATTTCAGTTTATTTCTCTTATACGACGGGGATCATAACTTTCATTTCCTTCTTTCTGTTTGTGCTCTCAACCACTTTCAGGAACATAATAGATAGTCTAGATATCAGCTTCCTTTCATAGGGGCCGGTTGTGTATTTAGTGTGTCCATTAACTTGTTGTCTTTATAAAAGGTTTGCTGCTGGACAAACACTGAGACCGAAATCAAAGTATTCTCCTATGAATGTTTTTTTTTTCTCTCATTTTCTTAAGGTTGGTCTGATGAGAAACGGCCATTTGCTGGCAGAAGGTCCTCCAGATGCAGTCATGAAGAAGCACAGTGCCACGGTGAGTACTCTCCAGGTCTCAGGTGTGTGGCTCCTGTCGGAGTCAGTGAGTCGGTTCTGCTTTCTAATGACTGAAACGTGACTAAGAAGGGGGGAAATAAACGGAGAGAAGGTGACCGCTCTCTGCTCTGTGAGCTGTTCTCATACAACCACATGCGCCGCAGCTCGTTCTGACCTTGGTTCCGGGCTGTTTCCAGACCTTGGAGCATGCCTTCTTGCAGCTGTGCGAGTCGTTGGACCAGAACTCCTCGCAGGAATCCAGCTCAGAGAGCGAAACTCTGGAGAAAAGCCAGACGTTTGCGAATGGCCGGGATGAGAGTCAGCCAATCCTGGCGGTTGTGCCTACGCCTGTGGAAGAAGTTCCTAAATGTACAGGTACCGATGTATGCACGATGTATTCCAGGTATAATGTTTTGGGGTTTTTTAATGAAACTCCATGAACTAAAGTTATCAGAATAAGTGTCATAATTTCAAGTTTGTTTGTTTTTTTTACCCTCCTGATGAAAACATTTTGCAGGCTCATGTCTCCCAATGTTGTTCCAAAATATGTCTAATTGTGACCAAGGATCGGTTTTACAAAATCCCAGTCAAGACCTGGTTGAATAAACATTAAATAGAAGTCAAATGAATATCTATGCTTGCAATCTGAATTTGAGACTTTAAAAGCTTCCATCTTTTAGTGCCCAATCGTTTCGTTCCGTCTCCTTAATTAAAGTGGAACCTTATCTGAACGCGTTCGGGTTTATGGCTCCATATTTGTCTGAGCAGAGCCGCTTTATGACTTCAGGCCTTGTGATTCCATGTCGCGATACGGCCTTTAATAGCAGCTCTAAGTTCAGTTTATCAGGAAGACCTTATCCAGGCATTAGTGCGTTCTGGAGACGACAGATACGGTATGAAGTGGGATCATGTCTGTTCAGGAAATGTGTTCGGCGCCAGGTCGCTGGCGTCTATCTGTCCTGGACCTTCTTTGGAAAAAGTGTTTTGTTATTTTTTGTTTGGTTTTTTTTTGTGGTTTTTGTCACTTCAGTAATATTTTTTTTCTACTCTGGAGCACATTCATGTTTTTCAAGCTATGCAGATCAGTCTCTTCAGAATCTATAAACATGGCAAGTCAAAATAGAGAGTCAGCTCATTCATTATCAGTGTTTTGTAATGTAAATGTTTCAAACTTACTTAGACTTTATTGCTTTTTTAGGTGACAATCTAATTCAGAATAGAAGGGAAATGATGCATGGTTTGGGTGTCCAAAGTGCAGCTTCTATCTGCACATGTAGTCGATTTAGAGAAAAGAATAGAAAAACATACAAAGGAAAAGAGACCTGTTGTTGCACAGAATTGACTAAATGATTTTCATTTCAATCAAGACCTAAACATTTTGAAAACTGGATTCCTTTTTTTTCTTTCACTTTTGCCTTCAAACCCTGTTAGAAGTTTTGGACCTGCAGCAATCGATCACCTTCCCAACGACAAAATCAGACTATTTGTTTTGTTAAAGTGCCCTGGTGCCACCCATCACCTGAACTGTAAGGCGGCGCTTACATCATGGCTCAATCAGCTTGTGCTATACAGTCACATCTACGTTAACTTGCTGTTCTCCCAAAGCATCGCGGATTACTTTTCTGTGATTTGATGCTCAGTGGGCTGGAAGGCGCGGGCCAGACACGTCCTGCCAAAGGGGAGAAACATCGCAGCGCTGTTCATCAAAACAATGGTGCGGATGAAGAGAATGCCAGGGTATTTCCTTTTTTGTATTTTCAGTTTTATTTCCGATCAATAACAGCAGAAGATTGACTGGTCGGGTCTCCTGCGGGCTTGCAGCTCGCTGTGCTTCCAGTTCCTGCTGCCGGTCATCCAGATCTCGCTCATCTGCCTGTGCGTCGGCGGAGATCCGAAGGGGATCACGGTGGCTGTGGTGAACAACGACACCAGCCCCCCATCCAGCTCGTTCAGCCAGTTGCTGCTGTCCTTCCTGGATAACTCCAGCGTGATTCAGGTACTCCTTCGCTTCTGGGGAGTGCGATTCCAACGAGCCGATGTTCTCCGGCTCGATCCCGCTTTAGTTTTCACTTAGAGCATCCGGGTTGTCCGTGCATCCTTAATATGACTTAAATTCCTTCATTTTTAAAAAATGAAAATAAGTTGACCTTAAATACTTTAATCATAGGTTTTGTCTTGACTCGACTATCATTTACTGCAAATAAACAGCCAAACAGAAATCTCCTTACTTTTTATTTATAACTCCTACGAAGGTAGCAGTTACTGTACTTAGTCACTTAAATGTGCAGGTGTGTGTGTGTGTGTGTGTGTGTGTGCATTCGTGTGTGTGTGTGTGTGTGTTTTGATTCAAACTTGACCAGCAGAGTTTCAGTTCTCCTTCCCAACAGATCAAACTTCCTTTCTTCTAGGAAAGTTTCGTTCTATTTGTGGAGGAACCGCAGCCTTTCAGAAAACTGCCGTGCTGCACATGGACCACACAGAGTACAAACTGACACAAATTGTCACAGATTATGAGAGTTTTCAGAATAGTGTAGTTTTTTTATCTTCTAGTCTGTGAGCAGCCGGTCCAGGGCGTCGTTAAATCCAATTTTCTTAACCTGGACAAACTTTCAAACACCTGGAATCACGTTTACCTTCACAATTCCTTCCATTTTCCCATATTTTCCTTTCGACGTGTTGCTGGAACCTTTGCAGTATTTTATTTTTAAGACTCGTCTTCTTCCCAAACATGTTTGGGTTCTGTCAGACCTGAGAGCTGCATTTGATACAGTAGGTCATAAAAACACCTCTGGTTCGTCTGGATTGATGTTGGTAGTCCAGCTCTTTCGGTCCGGTAGTTTTTAGATTTTAAAACGTATCTAGATATGACATGCAACATCAAACTGGATTTAAATGTGCTGTGCACAAAACTCAGTTTCCCTAGTGCAGTGGTACCACCGGGGAGAGAACTAAGACACGCAGGACGTCGGCCCTCCAGGGCCCATGTCGGCACCACTGCCCCTGTGACTTTCTGCATGTTAGGTAATTGAACGTTTGGGGAAAAAAACCTTACAGTTATGTCCAGACCTGAGAGTGTAGAGACGTTTCACTTCAAATGGCAGAAAAATGAAACGAGCCATAAATAAACTGCTTATTTTTATTTTTTCGTGTTTACAGGTCCCCCTGCCCCACAACGAGGCGTTCGAAGGGGTCCATAAAGGGGAGTTCTGGGGGGTCATCGGCTTTGGACAGAACTTCACCAATTACTTGACCAAACGGTGAGACGATCTCTAATGACATGACCTCATCTGAATACATCTGGTTTTGATCACACTGCGCGAGTCGACACAGCGAAATACCAAAGTTTGGGTGAAATACACAAAATATTTGGCACAGTAACATCATTAATAATTAGACGACAACAGACGATCTCTTGTTTGACTGACTGGTCGTATTAATTCCTCTGTAGGTCGTTCTGTTTGTGTTGGAGAGTCCGTGTCGCTCGTAAATCTACCCCCACTCTCCACTAAAAGCTCTCGCGTCTCTCCGCTCGGCTAGTGTTACCCGTCAGATACACGTCTACTGCCGTCGGGAGTCTCCTCTGTACTTCGCCAAGACGTTTACAGTTTCCCGCTGAGGCTTTCAATCCCCTGGATGTTTTTTATACATTTTGTCATATTCTGATGCTTTAAACTCCTCTGTTATCTGATAGAGGAACACAAAGCAATAGAGAAGAAGAAGGAAAGGGATTTGTGATTGTTAAGTTTAGTCGTTTTGTTTTGTTTTGTTTTGTATATTCAAGCCTTTTCACTCAGAATTTTGTAATTGGAGCAACTCTTCGACTCGGGCATTGTAACACCGCCTGATGTAATAGTGTAATGAAATTGTGCTATAGACATAGAATTTAATGAAACATAATGAAGTTCCGTATGAATTGATGCAAAACGCTTTTTTTTTTATTTTTGTTTTGAGCTCTGGTCTGAAAAGGCAAATTAGTTATTAGAAGTTCATTTGTTGACCAAAATTTGAATTTAAAAGGATCTACAACATGATCATAATTAGAAGTATAATTCTGGACACTAATATAAATATATATGTAATCACACATCACTGAACAGCTACCAGAAAAACAAAACAAAACAAAGGTTTCATCCGACTCCATGGTTCAGCTGCATTTATCAAAAGCTTCTGAAAACACACATCCTGTTTTCCTTCCTGTCTTCTGTCACTGTGAGGGTTTCGGTTTCACAAACCGGCGCTCTCGCTGTTCATCTGCATCGACCGTGCGCTGTCAGTCCAACAGGTGTTCAGTCGTTACGCAAACACGCTACCGGTTCGGACCGGCTCTGCCAAAGCACGCCGCAGTGTCAAGCAGAAAACAAATTCCTCCAGCTCATGGCTAAAGTACATATACGTAGTTGCTTGGAGACCCGCATAAACTGTATGTGCAGAGAACCGCCTGGCCAGTCTGGTTGTGAAACTTGTTTCCCTGCCTTTTGTTTGACCTTTCTGACCTTTGACCCACTATATGTGCAGTAGAGCTGCTCAGCAGATGGCAGCATGACCGTCCACAGCTGAAACCCTAACCTTAACCCTAACACTAATGTGTTGTTTATAACCAGACATGTTTTCGTGGGTTACATGGTTTTTCCTACCAGCAGTAAAACGATATGTCACAGTGTTGGGTTTTTTTGGTTTGTTTTCTTGGCACTATTTCTCTCGAGTCTCACTTTGAGCCACTCGAGTTCATCGGAACTGCGGTCATGTGAACATGAGTCAGAGTCCCCAGTTTTTGTTTTCTGTGCGAATAGCAGCATGGGAGTCGCAGGTCGCCATTCTGGTCCTTCCTGTCCTTAAAACATCTGGGCGGGGTCTGGTTTTAGGGTGTCAGCCAATCAGACGGCGGTTTTCTGTGAGCCTCGAGGTGCTGATGTGACCAACCCGCTTGAGTGAAACAAAACAGCCTGAGGTCGACAAATAGGGCCTCAAGCAGACTCCAAAGGTGACTTTGATGTTCTCAGACATAGATTACCAGAAGCCTGTCATTAGCACACAACAATCAATATAACCGATAAATGGGTCAGCCAATAAATTGGATCGGGTTTAGATGCTCTTTTCAGTTCAGCAGGGATTTCTGGAAAGTTTCACACTTTCGTTTGGTTCCGTTTATTTCCTCACCGTACCTCTGATCCACCGTCCCGATGATGTCACAGTTACAGCTGTCTATATATGAAAAAAAAAAACAAGGTTTAATTTAGAAAAAAAAGCACCAAATACTTCCAGTAAGAATATATTTTTTAAATAATTTAAAGTAATTTGGTTAAATGGAAACAATTACGGTTCTTAAGGAAAGTGGATGGGAAAACCAACAGTAGAAAGCTGCTTAAAAGGCAAAATGATTATTTTTGCGGAAAATAAAATCGAATTCATAAGCCGAGCATAAGCCAGTGGCATGTTCTCAGTCCGAGTTAAAAACACGTCTTGAGTTTCCTCTGGTTGGAGATGTTATTTGTAGATCTATTGATTTGGCTGAAAGCAGAAGAAGTGTGGCTGACAGACTCTCAGATTCGCCGTGGGTGGAAAATTTAGCCCAGCTGACCTTTCAAGTTCCTGTTAGTGAAACTAACCTCCAGCCACACACTCATCCCTCAATGCATCAATTACTACCATCGTTAATACTGCAATAAAACGTCACCTTGATATTTAGTTGGAGTTCAACAAAAGGAGCAAACAAAGAGAAACAAAAAGCACAATAAGCAAAAGATTGGTTCGAAAAAAAGAGTAAGATGAATCAGAGCTTATTTTAGACTTGATTATTAGCTTACCAATCTTTTTATATATATATATTTAATAAAAATATATTTAGGTTAAGGAGAACATAATCAGTCAATCAAGTTTATTTGCATGGCACATTTTAGCAACAAGACAGTTCGAAGTGCTTTATATCATAAAAACACAAAAATAAAAAGCCAGAAAAAACAATTTGAGAAACCGGGAACAAACATTAACTCAGTCTGTCCAGAGCCACCGTCAAAATCAGGAATGCACGTCAGCCATGTTGGTCAGTGTTCCATTTATCATGGTTTTAAAGCAACTCTAAACAGGAAGGTTTTGAGCCTTTACTGAAAGAAACTGTTTTCCTGGTTTCACAGGTTTCTGCAGCGGCATGTTTCCAAGGAAGTGATCGACGGCGGATCGGTGCACGTCTGGCTGGACCTGACCAGTGAGACACGCTCTTGTTTTCAGTGTTAAGTTTGTTTGTTTTGACGGAAAACGCCGAACTGACCTGAAGCTTCGTCGCTGCACAGATCGGCAGATCGGCCTCATGCTGCAGAAGCAGCTGCACCAGGCGTTTCAGGTACAACATGGACAAGATGCGATCGAAAGCTGGACGCACTTCACCCAATGAGTGACCTTCCTCTTTTAATGTCGGCTGTTATTCATTGTTCCCCAAACTTTAGTTTTACCAAACAGAAACTATCAAATTTCCTGCTTCCTGATGAAACCATTGTTATGATTTCGTGTGAGTTCAATATTAACATTATTTATGATCTGCCTGCAGGCTTTTGTGGATTATAAAATGGGCTCTTTGGCGTACCTGGCTGCTCTACCGGTGAAAGTAAGCGACCTCAAGGAAAATTACACAAGAACATATTCATCATGATCGATTAATATTTAACGATGCTTGTTGTAACTGATAAGTACAATGGAAAATTATTTTCGCAATCATCCATTTGAGTTTTGATTTATCGTTGACATGATAAATTTCAGTTAATGAAAATAAATGCAAAAAATTTTAAACTATGATTAAATGCAGTTGCTGAGTTGTGAATGTTTTCTTAGAGCAATGTTTGTGAATGCCATGCAGAACTATTTAAACCTAAAAGGTCATAAATAGTTTTTTTTTTTCTATCATTGTCTTTATCGTTATCACAATAGTGTCACAAAGTATTACCACAAAATTCGAGGTCCATATCGCCCTCTCTAATCATCAGCAGTGTGAGAAGGTTTGCTGTTTTGCAGCATCAGGTAGATTGAAACCCTTTCTGGTCATTTCCCAGTTCGAGGAGCCGATCTACGGAAGCCTGGACATGGATTTTACCACCTATGTGACTCCCGGAGCCGTCCTGAGGTCAGTGATGAGCGGGCCACTCCGGTTTTGTATTGCTTGCGTCCGAATTTGTTCATTTATAACCTCTGCCGTGGCACATCGCCGGGAAACGCTGAAAGGAACAAGTCCCTCTTTCTCTGACTCGCCTCTGTTCCTGCAGCATCTCCTTCTACCTGGCTGTGGGTCTGACGGCGCTCTCCTTTGTCCTGGAGAGGAAGGAGGGGCTTCTGGACAGGTGCTGGGTGGCAGGTGAGAAACCAAACCTTCATTTGCTCTCGTAGCAGAGCATCCATGAATAAAGAATGCTAGGAGCAAGTGCAGACTTTAATTATGTAGAAAAATGTTTTAAAAAGAAAAAAAAAAAATATGAAATCAAAAATATTTCTAACACATAACAAACTATCACTTTTAAATGACAAATAAATACAAGATGAAAACATGAAATCATACAGGAAATGAACACTTTCTACAAAATAAATATTTTTTCTGAAAAATTAAAGCTGGTCTTTATCTTACTTTGCTGCTTTTAACAGTTTAGCGTAGGAAATAAAGCGTTTGTTAACAATCTCCAGATCTATAGAAACTTCTAAAAGTTGATAACAGCGATGCTGCCACTCATAAGTTATTGATGAAAATCCAGGCGATGCATCATTTAGGTGTAATCTGACACGTGGCCAGTAGAGGGAAGAACATGATCACAGGTGAGGGTGAAGCTGCCAACAGAAAACTTGGAACAAATGTTTTCAGTCGCTTTTTTTTCCCATTTAGAAAAATCACACTGGTGTTGGCCGATAATCTGATGACTCTGAATTTACTGAAATTGTTGTTTGAACAGGATTTAGTCATAGCAAAATGCTGCTTTTCTGTCCTATTAGCTCCTTGGTAAATTGAGTTCCACACTCAAAATAGTCCAACTTGCAACTTGTCTTTTTTTTTTTTTTCCCAGAAAAAGTGAGGAATAATTGAGAAATAAGCAGAGATTATTTCATGGCTTTAATTTAAGTTTTCTTGGTTTGAATAAGAAACAAAATGTCCTCTAATTTTATAAAATAGTCTGGAAATGTAATTGTCTGGTCTCAAGTGGAAGTTGCCTCAAACCGCTGTCATTTTTAGTCTTTGAAAAGGTTTTCAGCTGCAGATTCTTTCCTGTTCTTCGCTCCGTCAGGTGTGAGCTCCCTGGAGACGATGCTGGCTCACCTCTTCTCCCAGCTCTTCGTCATCAGCGTCCAGATCACCCTGATGCTGCTCTTCATCCTGCTCGTCTTCAAGGTTGGCTTGGGGAGCAAACGCCGCACTCACGCTAAGCAATTTTATTGATCTAAAAAAAAAAAAAAAGTGTTTAGGTCAAAAGACAGATTTTGGCCATTTTTAGAACCGATGTTCCCCGTCCAGAACTTGCGCTAGTTTGCAAAAGGAGAATGAGCTCCGGACAAACGTGTCAAACTTGAGACTCCCGGGCCAGATCTGGCCCACCGTATATTTTTAAGTGGCCCTTTAGATTCGTCACACCAAACGACATCCATCAGCTGCAACACTTTTTGGACGAAATCAACAGCAACACATTTATTTTTTCAGCGTTTATAGCAAATGTTTCCGCCAACACAGGCAAAAACATTGGATTTAAGTGATGCCAAGTCTCACCTGAAGGTGGCAGTAGTTCTCCCTTTTACTACACTTCTGCTCATACCTGTCAAGACTCCTGGGAAAGTACAGTATGCTGTGTTTACTGCTGTGCTTCCGTATTAATATTTTCCCATAAATGTCCCGTATTATAGCAGCTACGTCACCAGTCCTCTGACGCCACCCCCGTTCACAAAAACAATTGCGATCGCTGTTAAAAGATGTTCAGGGTTACTTAATTATAAGAAGTACTTATCGAATGCAAAAACAGCATACTTTAAGAGTGTGTTACCAATAGATCCTGGCAAACTGGTCCTTTGAGAACATTCTTGGTCTTGATTTGGCCCAAAGTGAAAATGAATCGCAGCTGCAACTCCAACAGAAGGAGGAGATGAAGAGAAATCCGCAAATAAACTCATAAATGTGTCTGTCTCATAAAATCCCAGGAACCGCAAAAGTGAGAAGGAAGAAAAACAACAATAAAACAGTAGTGGACTGACCAAAGTCACTACGAACACGCTTTGGTTTTGACGTGTGGGAAACATGTCCGACACGCTGGAGGTTAATGATTCGCCAGCCTTCACAGGCCTTCCCAGGAGTTCATTTGCATTTTTACTGCGTCGACAAAAAGTCCGACTTTACCTGTGGCAAGTAGGAGAGACGTAATTATGTTAATAAGAATCCACTGCAGCCAGCAAACAGCTTTTCAATACCAGCTGAGATTTATTTTCCATTACGGCGGCGCGCTCTGTGAGGAATCAGCGTTTCTTCTGCGTGTGCAACAGAGTCTGACGGTAGTGAAGGTCGAGTCCGGCGTGAGAACAACACACCATTGCAGCATGAGTCTGGATTGATCCACTCTATGTGTGCATGTCAGCATGTGTGTGTGTGTGTGTGTTCATAAAATCAATAGAGAAAGAAGCTTTCAGACTGAAGAGGACGGAGTTTGAAGTCCACCTCCACAAAAAAATGGCAAAAACCCAAAGTTCTTGAACACGTGTCCTCAATAAACTCATTGTTTGTCTTACCCATAACAGAAGAGTGTGTGTCCTCCCCTCTGAGTGTGTGTGAATGCATATAGGCCTGCTCAGAACCGTGTTAATTAAGGTGCTGAAATCCAAAGAGAGCGCTGCTTCATAAATCACTTCCTGCATCGCCCGTATCCAGGGATCGCCGCAGGATCGCCACCACAACAGCCTGCGATTGCTGTGGCAACCGTGTGGTCATGTGGCCTCTGGGTGCGGGTCTATTTTTGCACGTTGTCAGGGGAGACGGATGGTGTCTTAGAGCTCCCAGGAGCAACGCAAACATTCCAGTCAACTTTGGAGAGTTTATCACCTCGACTCCTCGCAGCTGGGTCCTGCCCAAACCTCTGCCTGGTTTTCAGGAGTCTCGTTTCGCCTCTAATTGTATTTATTCACATCCAAGCAGAGTCACGCTTGTCGTTTCTTGTGTCTGTTTTTGCTTAGATTTTTTACGCCGTATCATCAGAAGGTCAGAGAGCGCGTGGATCCCTGCAGATCTTTATTTTTGTCATTTTTTGATAAAATGAGCTCTTTAAACTCATGGAAGCATTTCCAAAGTCTGTTCTGGTTTTTCATCTGAAATAGGGATAATTACGCTTGTTTAGGAACATATGTTTTTACTTCCGTGAGATCCCTCATAATGTTCGCTAGGAGCAATTATCTTATCGTTTATTGTGATAAATCGTTGATCACGGTAAGAATTTTAATTTATCGTTGTCACGATAAATCCCAATTAATACTTTAAAAAAAACTGTCCGTATTATCAGAGTTGTCATTTTGTTCAATGAAAGTATCAATAAGTACCAATACATCTGAAAACATAACTCGACCCAGTTACTGTGTGTTAATCCTATGGAAATGCTGTGGTTTTCAGTTTGACTCGTCAATATCATCTCCTTGGTTTTTACATTTTTCACTGTTTTCTTGTACAGCTTGTTCACTGAATGCACATTACCGAATCAAAAGTGTCTCAGCATAACCCCGTCCTCCGTGCTTTCGCATACTGAACGTGATGACAGGGAGCAGAGGGACAGCCTGTTTAGCAATAAAACACCTCCCCACTTCACCACAGCAAAAAGGTGCAATAATGTGCAAGTGATGCATTTAGCATTTATGGGTCATGTTTTTAAAGGACTGGTCTGCAGCAGCAGAAGCCATCTGGCAGCTGTAAACGCAGCAGCAGCTGTAAACGCAGCAGCAGCTGCTCCGCCTCACTCTGGTGGCGGAAAGAGCGGCTGCTTGAACTTTGTGACCCGGCGAAACATGACAAGGCCTTTAAAAAACAAAAATCACAACGATGCGTAGTGTTTGAGCGTGTTGCACTTCCTCACTGTGCTATGTTTCTGTCCCCCTCTCTTCACAGATGCCGAACGAAGGCTCCCTGCTGCTGGTCATTTGTCTGATCGTGCTGCAGGGCGTCACGGGAATCTCCTTCGGCCTCGTCATCTCGGCGGGGATCGACGACGAGCAGAGTGCCAACCAGGCCGCCCTGGGCATCTTCTACCCGAACCTCATCCTGAGCGGTAAGCAGAGACTCAGGGGGGAAGGGTAGTTGGGGGGTGTCTGTCGTAAAACCGCCTCGGGTGTCATCGCCTGTCAGACTCCAAAGTCACAGCTGGCGGCTGATTGCTGGGTTAAGTATGAGCCTCTGATTAAAGATCGTTGTGAGCTGGATGTCAGCCAGGATGCGGGGACCATATTTGTTCAGAAGACCTGATCTGAAGATAGTTCAAGTCATAGAAAATAGCACATATTTCTGGATTTGATGGTGAGGATACTGAGGCACACACATTGAAAATGTAAATACTTGGTGATCGAATCCAAACAAGAAAGGCAGTATCCGCCACTTCGTATTAAAACGAGAGCCGACGCACAAATAGTTAAAGCTTTTAACATAAATACTAAATATCAGTCAAATTACTTGAGAACGGTGTCTTTATGTTGCTTTTCAATGTTTAAAAAAGCAGAAACAAAATTACACAAAAAGCAGTAATAGGATCAAATTTTCATAAATAATTTTGTTTGACATTATAATTATAACAATGAATGATTTGTCCACAACTTCTGAAACATTCAAATTTATTTGATTTGCTACTAAATAGTCAGACTTTATATCTTAAAATGATCTTCATCTCTTCTATTTCTGGCTTTCCGTTTTGAAATACATTTAGCCTTTCTGTTTGCTGCTAAAAGTCTCCGTGTTTCGAAATACAGTTCTCCAATTCGGAAAATGGTTGACTTTGAGTTTTTGCCCTACTGTAAAAATAACTCCAACACAACAGATTGCTATCATTATTGTGCGGAGCAATCAGCGATTGGAAAACGATTTCAGGTTTCCGTCATCTTGTACGAAACTGAACTCGAGAACGGCAAAACCTACTAGAAAAAAAAATCCCTTCTTCAAACACAAATATAAAAAAATGAGCGATGACTCCAAACTTGTCGTTTGCATTTTTTATTCATCCATTATCTTACCCTGCGTCCTCTCCGTCCTGTGCTGCAGGTATCATCTGGCCTGTGGAGTGCATCCCGTATCCTCTCCGCTACCTCAGCCTGGCTCTTCCTCAGACCTATGCTTCCGAATCCCTGCGCTGCATCATGTACAGAGGTAACATGTGTGCGAACACTGACACCGCTGCCGCGTGAGGCTCAGGCCAACAACTTCATTTCTACCGTCGTCTATGACACAAGCATTGGGTCTAAATCATTTATCAGCCTTCGATTCTGGGTAACTCGGGTTCCTTGGAAGTAATGTAAGGCTCTCGTTCTGTGTGCCAATTTTTGTCATGACCTCACTTCACTTTAAGGAATGAATTACCAAACAGCTGGAAGAACGTGCTCAAAAACTGTAAACTGTCGAGTTTTCTGAGCCTGAAATGCTCTAGATATTGGTAATCAAAGTAAATAAAACATGTTTAAAAAAAAACACCCCTTAAATTATGAATGATAAAATGTAGCTGCATAAGAAATATTTATTGAACAAATCCATCCAATACGTGGTAGAAAAGCCTCTTCCTGGAATGAGAATTTTTAAGCATCCCTTATATTGAGAAACTAGCCTTCCTTTGTTTAGGCATGATTTTGACGCAACTGTCTATAAATCTTGAAGATATTCCAGGTCCATTTCCACTGCATATATGTTTTTTGCAAGGACGTCCAAATAGTTCAAAGAACATACAGAGCAAGTAATTGATTCGCTTCTCCAGATGCTCTGATGTGAATTTTAAACACGCGTCATTGTGGTTTTCTTCAACAGTGGAGTCTTGCGTAGTGAGGTACAAAAAAAAAAAGCCCAGGCTGTTGTTGCAAACTGTTGTTGGCGTTTCTGATTATTCGTTTGACTTGTCTTGTCCAGAAATATAATTTTAATGCGTAGCCAATCTTCTGCCCAGGCTGGGGGATGTCCGAGATGATGGTGTGGCGAGGTTTTGCCGTCACCCTGGGCTGGAACACATTCTTCCTGATCCTGGCCACCGTCATCCTAAAGCTGAGAACGTGACAGCCTCCGTCCCCTCGGAAGACGCCGTCTCGAGTGGAGACGGATCAGGAGCCGACAACAACCCTTGGACCTCCCGCCTGCGGAGAAGGCAAAGCAGAAGAAATAAAGAGGAAAAATGGGGAGAAGAGAGGGAGATATCTCCCTCCTGCTGGTCGTCTCTCTGACACAACCTAACACACACACACACACACACACACACACACACACACACACACACACACACACACACACACACACACACCACCCACCCACACACACACACACACACACACACACACACACACACACACACACACACTCGGCACACACACACACACACACACTGATCCTGCAGTAGCTGGTTTGCTCTGTTCAAAGTCTAAATTCAAGATGCTTCAGTAGAAAAAACAAAGTAGCAGCAGTCAATGTTCGTTCGCACTTCTACATGCGGTTTCTCGAAAACCTTCATCCTGTGATCAGCCGCGAACTGACTCAGGGTCACTTTTTGATTCCTATTCTTTCTCATTTTTTTGCCTTTTGACTTAATGCCGAGAGATTTTTCTGTTTGACACTTTAGAATGAATGAAGACCGTATTGTTCGATTTTTGATATAAAAAGAGAAAAACACACAAACACGTTGACTGTAAGGGATGGATATTCGAGGTCCGCGCCGTCCGTGCTACGATGAAGATAAGACGGGCACCGGAGAAAATGAAGGAAACTTTCAAGAGGAGGAGCACAAAACTGGGAGAAAACTTCTCTTTTTCCAAGCAGGAAACTGAGATCATTGCACAATGGAGTGTGAATGCAGACGGAAGTAAAAAAAGTGATGATTGCCTCACCCGTGAAGGCTTCTTCCCACAGCGTCTCTCTCGCTGCTTGCTCGGTGTGTTTATGTTGAGCCCATCGTTCCCGTCGGATCACGAAGGGAAGCGGTGACCTTTTGGTGCTCAACGTGTCGTTCTTCTTCAGCTTTGGTCGGTGGTGTTCCTCATAACTTTGTGCCTGTATCTCCTAGAGGAGGGAAAATGTTGGTGGTGGGGAATTGATCTTTTTTTTTATTGTTTTTTTTTTTTTTCTGTCCTGCGACTTGATATTTTTCACAAACCCTCTACTTTGCCGGACAGAGTGGAGGCCGCTCTCGAGCCGTCAGCATCCATGCTTTTTTTTCTTTTTTTCATATATAAAAAATGTAAATGTCAAAAAACTTGATATTTTATAACTTTTTTTTCTGAAGGAGTCCTAGAAAACTTAAGCACACAGGAGTGAGTCTTTAGGGGGTTAAATACAGAGAAAGAAGGAAAAACAAAATAAGTGGGAAAGTTTATAAGTCAGAAAATGTGTTTTTCTGTCCTGCTGATATGGTGACAAATACCTGTAGTCGAAAAGCCACATTTTGAATGACGTATAACGGTCTATCAACATGGATCGGTTTTTATAGGTGGGATTTATACAATTATATTTTCTCAACGCCTAAAAACACAGCTGTATTGATTATTTTTGGTAATGTGACACCAATGAACCAAACTTTCTTTTAATCTCTAAACTGGTTTTGCTGCAGTGGTGAGTTTTGATATGTGCAATACGGGTCGCCACCCAGATCAGCACAACGAAGGGGGCGGCCTGAGCGACGGAGGGGGAAAAAACTAACATCACTTCCACCGGAATTGGTTTTCTGTTGCTTTGCATGTGTTGTGTGCAATTCAGGCGCTGTAGAAACCTGCAAACACTGCTGTATTATAACTAATTGTGATTCTAAGTGACTCGGCTCTGAACTGTAGAGCTGCTTCGCTTCTGTTTAAGAAATCAGAAATCTCATTAAGACTCGCGAACTCTTCGTTTTCGGAACTGTAAAAAACGGATGCTCGCCTCTGATCGGAGTTTCTCCAGCCCTTCTGACGGCTTTTCAGTATTTTTCTTTGCAGCCTTCACAGCTTGCTGGACAGAGTGGAGGCCGTTCTCATTGCTCATTGTTGTTTCCGTCAACAATGAGCAACATTTGAAAGAGATGAGAGAGATGTCTCGTCTTCCCGTCCCCGGCTGCGAATCACCCCGTTGGCGTTAGATTATTTAACCATTGAAATGAGGTGAATTTTACATTTTGCAGACGTGGCAAGCAAAAAGCAATAAAGCAAAGTGCCCAAAAGATCTGGTTTAAAATGTCTGGTTTAAAACGTGCTCCTCGCTACGTTTTCTAAAGCGTGCAGACAGGAAACTACTTCAGCCCCTGAATCGTGGAGACGTTGTGTGCCTGAATGTTTCATAAGTCACAGTTAAGCTGTCAGTTCAATTTGGAAATACTTAACTAATAACGAAGGGAAAATACATCATCTGTACCTGACTATTGCTCTGAAAGCGGTCTGGTGAAATCAACCTAAACCAGTGGAAAACCGTCTTTTAATTTTAATTTTTTACAACGCTTCCTCAGAGATTGACAATCTCAATCCATCGTCTGTGGAAACAGCATCACATGTTTGTGCCAGCTGAAGATTCAAAGTGTTTACAGTTATGTGCATGTAATAAATCGGAGTGTGTTTTTGCTGGCGGAGGTTTCTCTGAACACTTGTTCCTGTTGGGTTACTGTATATCGGAGCAACCTCCACTGTCAATGAGTTCAGTGTTCATATTCTACTGAGAATGTTGAGCTATTGTTTGATAGAACCGGGTGATCACATGCTCAGACAGTCATTAATAAGCTCCTTAAGGATAATATACTTTAATATAATAACGTTTTTGTGCCTGGGTCTGATCCTGTCACAATATTGAACTTTTGTGAAACATATTTAGAGGTGCTCTCTCTCTGGGCTCACAGGTATGGCTTGTTTAAACATCATTTTTATGTAAAGAAACTATATTTGGACTGTGAGGTCATCATTGCCAAAAACCATGTTTAAACTTTGCAATTCGGTGGTGATTTCTGTTCAAATTTGCTCTTTTTTTATTGTTATTATTGAAATAGTCTCATGATGAGACTGGTTTTGAACATGCGCACCCTTCAAATTGGAAATCCTGCCCAATACTTGCAAAAACCACTGTCAAAGCCAAGCCACGCGGGGGGCGTCTATTGATCAGAAGTTGCCCATTTTGATTTAAAATGTAACTTTTCTTCATTTATTTTTTATTTTTTGGTTAAAATGCCTCCACCTGTGTGAATTTACACTCCTGTGTTGTGGCTCGTGTGCGCTGCCGCAGCAGACGTGCTTGGATGAAGTCCCGTTCGTTTATTCTGAAACAATAAATGTCGTTGGGAAAGCAAAAAAAAAGTCCCTCCTCTTTGTTGTCGCTGCTGATGTTGCGGTTGCAGAAACACCTGGAGGTGACGGACGGCCAAAGGCACGCGGGTTACATCACGCCTTGCTCGCTTGGTTGTGTGGCCCGTTGCCATGGATTCGTTTTTGATCTGTCTCTACCCGACTGGGCGTGGCTCACTGTTTGAACTCTGTGTGTGTAACGCATAGAGTTCAATTGAGAGGAAGAGAAACCAAAAGAGAAAAGTTAAACTAGAGTTAATTAAATGCACAACAATGAAATGAAATTAAAATCAACCTCAGAAATGATCATGTAGAGCTACAAGCCTTTAATTACCTTAACATATCCAGGTAATTAAAGGCTAGTGGTGACCTTCTCAAAGGTCAACACATCACAATTAACATGCCAGAGACATCCAGCTTTGATGTGACATTTATTTTGTACCATTAAACCGCATGTGTCAAACCAAATCTAGACTCCAGATTATATAAAAGACATCACTGGTTTTCACCAATTTGCAAAATCCACAGAAAATCCACAGATCCCCACATTTTTTCCTTATTTTGACTTTTTCTCAAAATTGGTCAAAAACATTGGGTCTGCATGATGTCAAATAATAGTCCGTGATCAATACAGCAATCAATAAAAAGTCACATTTCATATCATAGATTAAGGCAAATTTTATACAAATTCCATACAAATATTTCTAAATGATTGCTGTGATATTCACAGCAAAGGCCCTGTAGATGCTGAAGACCAGAATCCAACCAGAAACACTCAGCTTACAAAACGACAAAATGAATGAAGTCGTGAGAACAAGATGAGACAAGATTCTAGCAGTGTGAAAACTGAAAATGTCAAATTTGTGGTTGGTGAAAATAGTTTTTCCAAACGGGAATTAGAAGAATTAGTTCTAAATGTTCACGTTTATTAAATCTGTAACTGAGGTTTCCTCGTTTTACTATCTTAGTGGTTTTCCTGAAGACGTTTTGTGTTTTCACCATTAAAATAAATGCTCCGTTGTTCTCCAATTGTGTTTTAAAGAACCTCTGTTAAACACAAAACGATCCACTCCAGAGTTAGTCAGGGTCAATAAAGTTAGAATAGAAAGCTCAGCTATGCTGTCTGTACACTAAACAACCCCAATCTGCAGAACGCATCTGTCAAATTTTAAACAATCACAGTTCAGTGTGTTTCAAACAGTGAAAGTCTTTTACGCATCGTCCTCCTGCTAGAAGAAGAATGAAATGAGAAGGTTGCCTGTCCATAGTCATCTACAGCGGTTGTTGAGCTCGGTGACAACACCATTTCCAGTTATAGAGTAATTACAGCGTAATTACGTTCAATGACACTCTGCGGACCATAGGAACTGTAGCGTTCACGCAGCACACAGCCCCAGTTTACACATGATGCAACGTGGACAGAATGTACAAACAATTTGCTACAGTGAGAGTCATACATCCTGCAGTGATGAAAGTGAGCCACGTGTTTGCCAAGCTTTCATTTATGGGGAATTCTGCAGTTAAATGCAATTTACAGCTGTCCACATCTGGTTCGCATCACCACCAATCATTCCAAAACACATCGTATGATTATATTTATAAAATGCTCAACTCTGGGAAGCACAAGGAGTCGGTTTGCATTCAATTTCCTCGGTTTAATCAACAATAGATCAGTGAAATCAAAGAAACACAGTTAATATAGTCGGTGGAATACATGATAACTTTTCTCATGTTGAAAATTTGTGAAGTGATTTCATCAGAGTGCCCCAACCCAACTGAACTTCATTTCTTCACTTTGCGTACCGGGAAAAGAAGAGTTGCCTGCAAGGTCTGAATGAATATCATATGAGTATTTGAAGTTCAAGTTAATTCATCTAAGGC